AACCTCATCCTCCCTCCCTTTCCCCTTCTTACTCACAATATTCCCCCTCCTCCGTTCCGCATCAACATACATCTCCCAAAACTCTTCGTAAATCTGAATAACCCGATCCTGCACCGCGCCCACCAGCGTCTCCCTCATCCGCCCATCATCCAAATACTCCCCCAACACCTTCCTCAAACTCCCCACTTCCCTCTCCACATTCCCGCACAACGGACCCATAACCTCCCCCAACCCTACCATGGAGGAACTTCTAGCCGGCAATGAAGCCGTCATCTTCCCGGCCGCAAACTCATTAATGAATTCATTAATGACCGTGCGGAGCCGTCCATCTAGCTCGACCTTCGCGTCGAGCATGTTCTCCACGACGCGGGGGAGAAGGCCATGGCCTACTAATTTAAAGAGGTTGCGCGGGTTGAAGAGACCCCCGCGTGAGCGGAGTTCGTAGAAGGTGGATGTCATGGCGGAGAAGTCGAGGGTTGTTTCCGGGGTGGTGTATTCGATATCGAAGGCGACGATTTGTTGTTTTAGTATGAGGAGGTGGCTGAGGAGGAAGAGGTGGGCGTCGGTGGGGGTGGTTTTTGTCGATAGGAGAGTGCTCGCGCTGTGTAGGGAGGTGGTGGTTTGGTGGACGATTTGGTGCGCGAGGTCGTCGAAGACGGTGGACTGTTTTTCAAATATCATTGTGTTAGTTTGGGGGTATTTAGGATGGGGAGGGGAAGGGGGAGGGTATGTACGTTGACGAGTCGGTAGATTCGGCTGAGGAGCCAGATGGCTTTGCGGAGGGTCGGATACCATCCGCTTTGGTCTTGGGTTGTTGGGGACTCGAGGTCCCATTTTGTCGTGGCGGTGGTGTCTTCTGGGGTTGTTGATGCTGGGTCGCTGTCACTGCTGAGCTTGGTTGTGGGTTTAGGAAGGTTCGGGAGCGTCGTGGTGGTGGTGTCTGTAGAGGTGATCTTGCGGCCGCTGATCTGGCCTTCGGTGACGGATATGGAGAATTGCTTGTTGCGTGCTGGGTAGTCTAGGTCTTCGGGGCGAGGCTTGTAGCGCTCGATCTCGTCGCGGAGGAAGGCCTGCGCGCGGAAGACGAGGCGGGTTTGGACGTCTTCGAGCGCGGGTTGGATCAGCGCTGGGAAGTCGAGCTGGTTGGCGTCTATTTGTTGCTCGATTTCCTCGTCCTGGTCGAGCAGGTATCGGGTTTGCAGGAGGGTGCAGAGCTGACAGAGCTTGACGATCTTGTCTTCATGAATGATTCGCGGTCGGAGGTGGTCGTAGAGAGGTTCGCAGATTGTTTCCAGGAAGTCGTAGAGTCCGCCGTGGCCGTGAAACCATTCGCCCCATAGTTCGAACTCGTCGAGGCATACGCCGCGGATGTAGCTGATGCTGGCGCGGGCAAAAGAGACAAGATCCTGAGATGATGTTGGAGACTGTGCAAGGTCGTTGAGGTTCTTGTATACGAGTGGGATGATCAGTTTCCCGCGTGTGGCTGCATAGTTCGCATGAAGCTCGTTCAGCAAGCTTTGGTATTCGGCTTCGGTGCCCTGGTCGGGATCTAGAGGCGGGACGGCTCTCTTCTGGATCTCGAGTCCGATCTGCTTCAGTTCTGGTGCGCCGACTCTGAATTTGGCGTAGAGCAGAGTGGACATGGTTGTATCGTTGAGCTGCTTATCTGCGATCTTCTTCGACGCATCGGCGTATACATCTCGGAGGGAGGACACAAAGTGGGTTCGGATCAAGGTGAGGGCGCGAGTCATGAGCAAACGGTACCGGGAGCGGTATACACCGGCCTCTTTGTGATCGGGCTGCGCAACAGGGAGCGTTAGCTGGAGTGCGGTAAACATTGTGAGGTATACTGACATGTGTCTCCATGTAATCCAGGCATTCGTCAAGCCGTCGTAGCATATCCGAGAATTCCTTCCCACGGACCGTATTCCCAGCCCCGGGGGCATTCAGTCTCCTCGACGCAGGGTCTAGAAAGTCATAGTACTGGAGGTTCTCTTGAATATCCTCCGCCAAATCCGAGTCATGCTTCTGCGCAGAAAGTAGCCCCTCACATTGTTTCCGGAATTGGGAGGTCTGTGATTCCACGGCTCTGAAGTCGTTCGAGAGGCTAGTCAAAAGGTCGAGGGTTGACGAAGTATCGGTTAACAAGGAATCGAGATGGGACTTGGACATTTGAAGCTCCTGGAGGCAAGCTCTAAGGACAATGAATGTCAGCATAGACCAGGGGCTCTGTGGGGTTGACCACGGATTGGCTTACTGGTATTCATCGTAGCTAGCTTCCAACAAGCTCTCCTCTACTTCATTGTACCACTGCGCAAACTCCAGCTCGTTGCGAACATCAGTAATTGAGTCCACACCATCCGGGATTGTCTCGAGTTCCGTAGCCTCCTTGACCTTCTGTTCCAGAGCCCGGCCCGACGGGGCTGTCTGGCGTCGACTTCGCTGTCCTGCAGCTTGTTGGCGCATTGTGGAGAAATCTTTGGCGTTGGAAAGACTTGAAGTACAGCCTCTGCATCAGAGCCTCCAAATATCAAGGCAAGCAATCTTTACCAAGCCCAGAGCCCACGCGCAGGGAAAGGTAGAGAAGCAATGAATCCGGCGTGGCTTCAATGCGCTATTCTGCTGTCATATTCCGCCTACGCGACTTGACGCAACATCCAGCTGATGTTTTGCCTCTTCCTCATTGATCGATCCAGATCCACCGGGAATTAAACAAGAAACTGGCAATCGATTACAGACTCGGCGTGCGAACTTATTGAGCACTGCCAAACATCATGTGGACTCATCGGGGGCGGCAATCGGTGACGACCGTCGTCACCAACTCTTCACGTCGCCTTGTGAGAAACAACCGATCTATCGCCACGCCCTGGCGCAGATGTTATGCCAGCGGTAACAAGGGATCGGAGCCATCGGCTAACTCGCACTGGCTCCGGAATTCTTTGGGCGTGGCAGGAGCAGGCACTGCTGCCTTTTTCATCTACGATTATGCTACATCCAACCGGAACCAGATTGAGAAGCCAGTGGAGAAGGTCAAAGACCTTACCAAGTCGGCTGAAGAATTGAGCTCGCAGTACGTGCAGCACAAGCGGAGCGTTAAGAGTCCCGGTGTCTATGTCTGGGGCACGAACGTCTATCGCGTGGTTGATCCGGACTCGAAGGAGTCCGTGGTGAAGACTCCCCGGAAGTTTGCCTATTTTGAAGGTCAAGTGCTTAGAGACCTCAAGCTCGGAGAGAGGTCCGGAGCAGCCATTACGGAGGACGGCGACTTGGTGCAATGGGGCAAGGGCTATTCAGAGACCGAGTTCAAACCCACGAAGACCCTTACCGGCAAGAATCTGGCTTCGTTGTGCATGTCTAACGATCGGATCCTTGCATTGTCCTCGGACGGCAATGTCTACTCACTACCCATTGCCAAGGAGGACCAGCTGGGTGGCCGCAAGACCAAGGAGGGCTCATGGGTGCCTTTCCGGTCAGGAACGTCCAGTATTAGCTACCGCTTGCTGCAGCCGGCTCTCAAGCTGGGCGAGCGTATAACCGCTCTCGCTAGCGGACTCGACCATGCTCTTCTCTTGACCAGCTCCGGCCGAGTGTTCTCTTTTGCTGCTTCTACTGAAAATTACCCTTCGTTTGGACAGCTCGGTATCCCCGGCTTGACCTGGGCCACTCGCCCCAAGGGGCCGGTGGATGCCCTTCACGAGATCACTGCGCTCAAGGGCTCGAAGATTGTTCAGATTGCTGCGGGTGATTACCACTCGCTCGCCCTTGACAAGGATGGCAATGTTTTTGCCTTTGGCGATAACTCTTTTGGGCAGCTAGCGATGGAATTCAACCCGTCATCGCCCTTCTGCGACACCCCGACTCTGGTGCCCATCAGGAACCTCTACCGCGGTCCCTGGTTGCCCAAGGCCACTCGGGTTGCGGCTGGAGGTGCCAACAGCTTCTTCACCGTGGATGCGCAGCGCATACTTAGCTCCAAGGAGGACCCTGCCACCCTCCGTGACCTGGGACGCGTCACTGCCGATACCTGGGCTTGCGGACGGGGCATCTGGGGAGCTCTAGGTACCGGCAAATGGACCCATGTACAGGACGCTCCCGCCAAGGTGAAGGCATTGAGTGGTCTTTCCGAATTTGACGAGAAGACCAACCGCCTGACGCCCATCCGCATCCATGATCTCTCAGTCGGTACGACACACGTTTCCGCAGTTATGGACAACAGTACCCATGTGGATTCAGCTCCCTCCAGCACCCTGAATGAGACCCGTGACTGGGGATACGATGCGCTCTGGTGGGGAGGCAACGAACATTTCCAGCTGGGTACAGGCAAGCGCAGTAATCTATCTAAGCCGAACTACATCCACGCCCCGCCGGAGGAGGCAGACGAGCAGCAGGAAGCGCGCCTTCAGATCATGCCTCGCCACAAGGGCAAGGTTGATCGTCGCACGGTGAGCATGGAGCAGCGCGTGGTATGTGGGCGACACATTTCTGCCATCTATTCTGCCGTATAATTTGACCTCCTTCTATTCCATGTATAATGAACCATAATTGGGGCTATGACCGTGTATATTAGCTATATCTTCTGGGCGTGTTATGAGGTGATCGGGGTCGAAAAAGTCGTGATCGAGGCATGTAATACCAACCTATCAGCACTCAGCTGGAATTCAATGCAAATCTCAAATCCTAGGGTCCTTGTCTAATGTGTGAATGGTTCCTGAGCAGCCATTAGAGCCGGATCTCCACCAAAGACTGGGTCATGATGTCGAATACCCGGAAAATGTCATCACTTCAGTGGATCCTCTTCTCCCGCCTGCCGTTCCGATTGACTTTTGACAGCCACAGTTGCTGCTCCATGGGCTGCTTTTTCTTTGACTTTTTTTCGAGGATTTCTTTGGAACTGTTGCCGTATCGTCGTGTACAGTCTCTCTCCTCTGTCCACCTCCCAATATCTCTTCTATATTCCCCTTGATTACTCCTCATCATCTCCGTCCTCTCTCCCCGCATCCATGGCTTCTGCCCCGCCGGCCAGTCGCGCCGATGAAGTACAAAATGTGAGTCATGCTCATTCTCACGTCTGACGAGCTTGTGCATAAGCCTTGATCATGGCTCCTGTGTCTGTGTACCGCTGGCATTCTTTGATCCTCCAATTAGCGCAATACTGACCGAATTGACTGCTTTACAGCTTCTGAAAGCCGTCGAAGACCTGCTCATTCCGTTCATCCGAAGCGCCGACGAGGACCCTTTGGCCCAGCAATCACTGCACAACGGCACCAATGGCGACTCCCAGCCCCGAGGCACGTCCCTCGTAGAACACAAGAAGCCAGAAGAGCTGCAGAAACTCCTCCAATTAGACCTCCCCGATGAAGGAACCGGACAAGACGGTCTGATCGACGTCCTGCGCAAGGTTCTGCGCTACTCGGTCAACACATGGCACCAGGGATTCCTCGACAAGCTTTATGCATCAACCAACGCCCCCGGCGTAGCGTCGGAGCTTATCCTCGCGGCGCTCAACACCAACGTCCACGTCTACCAGGTCTCCCCGGCCCTCACAGTCATTGAGAAACACACCGGAAAGCAACTTGCCTCTCTCTTCGGCCTCAATGGGCCCCGCGCCGGAGGCATCTCCGTCCAAGGTGGCTCCGCCTCCAACACCACCTCCATTGTGATCGCGCGCAACAACCTCTACCCCAGCACCAAGAAAGACGGCAATGGCAACTACCGCTTCGTGCTCTTCACCAGCGCCCACGGCCACTACAGCATCGAAAAGGCCGCCCAGATGCTCGGCCTCGGCAGCTCCTCCGTATGGGCCGTCCCCATCGACAAACAAGGCCGCATGATCCCCTCCGAGCTCGAAGCCCTCGTCCAAAAGGCCCTCGCCGAGGACCGCACCCCCTTCTACGTCAACGCCACCGCCGGCACCACCGTCATGGGCTCCTTCGACCCCTTCCACGAAATCGCCGACATCTGCAAGAAATACAACCTGTGGTTCCACGTCGACGGCTCCTGGGGCGGCTCCTTCATCTTCTCCTCCGAACAACGCGCCAAACTCTCCGGCGCCGAAAAAGCAGACAGCATCGCCATCAACCCTCACAAAATGCTCGGCGTCCCCGTCACCTGCTCGTTCCTCCTCGCCGCTGACATCCGTCGCTTCCACCTCGCCAACACCCTCCCCGCCGGCTACCTCTTCCACAACGAAGACACCGCCGCCGCACCAGACACCCTGAACGGCGAGACCGAACTCGTCGTCGACTCCCCCGAGGTCTGGGACCTCGCGGATCTCACTCTCCAATGCGGCCGTCGCGCAGACTCTCTCAAGCTCTTCCTCAGCTGGACCTACTACGGTACCGCCGGGTACGAGCGCCAGATCGATTCCGCCTGCGCCGTGGCAGCACACCTCGCTACGCTGGTCGAGCAGAACCAGAACTTCGTCCTCGTGAGCGAGAACCCGCCGCCGTGCTTGCAGGTGTGCTTCCATTATGCGCCGAACCGTGCGTTCGTGCATCCGCGCGGGCTGGTCTCGAATGAGACGGAGCGCGGCAAGGCGAATAGTAAGGTCACGGAGCAGATCACTCATGCTATTGTGAACAAGGGGTTCATGGTGGATTTTGCCCCGCCGAGTGGGGATGAGGATGCCGTGGGCAATGGGAAGTTCTTCCGTTGTGTGGTTAATGTTCAGACGACGAGGGAGACAGTTGAGGCGCTGATTCGGGCGATTGAAGAGGTTGGGCCCGGGATTGTGGAGAGGTTGAAGAGGGAGAGTGCCGGGGAGGTGTCGACGAGGAGGTTGGGGGAGAGGGGGCATGGGCCTGTTGTGCATCAATGAGGGATGGGTTTGGTTAGTGTGGTAAGTTTGTCTCGGGTTGGATATATTTTGGATTATATCTGTAGAAACAAAAGTCTGGGCTATAGATAGGATGGTATAAATATAGAGGGTACATACATAGAGGGTGGGTAGATAACGATAAATACAGTGAATAATACGATGAGCCAGAAGAATACTATACTTGAATGCATACTAGAATTGTAACAGTGGATATCTCATACTACCTAATTACTGCGACTTCAGAAATCACCATCATCCATATATACACCCCCGGTGTACCTTCTCAACTAATTACCAATCTCCGCCCGTCTCTCAAGCACACTCCTCGCCTCCGCCTCCGTCAAACTCTCGATCCCCAATTCTGCAAGCACAACCCGCGCGCTCTCATTATCCTTGAAGAGTCGTTTCTCAACTTCCCATAGCCCAGGGCGTGTGTCTCCATCGACCTCGGAGTCCTCCGTTGTAGCGGTAGTCTTCGCATCAGCCGAGTTCTCTAATCCCAAGAGAATAAGACTTTCCGCTAGTTTATTTATGCTCTTGATAGAGCTGCCAGCTGTTGCCTGCCCTGCTCCGCTTCCCAGGGCAGCATCAACGACACTGCAGAGATGTTCGACGTCACTGATGAATTGCGCAGCGCCGGACGCGGAGAAAGTGTTCCTTGTGAGAACATTGCTCCAGAGGTAGGTCTGAATAGCGAGGAGGACCTGGCGGATGATGCGGCGGAGCGGAGCGACTCCCAGTGCGCGAGAGAGGAAGGTGATTTCGGTAGAGAGAGTGCGCATGGCTGGGGCGAGGTCGGAGGTGGGAGGGAGAGGAGCAGTAGTGTTACTCGTGGCGATGGAAGCCCAGGTGGATACGCGGGAGTAGGGTTTCAGGGCGGAGCGCACGTTTGAAGTGAGTGTGGAGGTAATGATGGATTCTGAACGAAGACGGAGACGGCGGTAGGCGGAGGCGGTCTCGTCGAAGAGAGCGCCTTCTGATGAGGATGCACCTGTGCTTCGGTCGTGATTGTTGTTAACGGCTTGGGACGTGCGCGATGCGACATCCGCGATGGACATGGTGCCTGCTACATTCTTGCCGCCGTCTTTGTTTTGTCGGACGCGATCTTGGAGCTCGGTCCAGAGTTCGACGAAGAAGACTTCGTTGCTCCAGTCCTCCATCTTCTTCTCGAGGTATTCCGCGCTGCCGAAGACTCGACAGAGTCGTTCGAGCCCGGCCACGCCTTCGATGCTGGCTGCGTCGGCGCCTTGGACGGTGCGGCCGATGGCGGAGGTCATGGCGAGATAAGCTTCGAGTGCGGAGTGCAAGCGTTCATGGAATTGGTCGAAGATGGTAATCTGGATGTCGATGAGGAAGCGCAGCTTCTGGCTAAATGAGGACAAGGGCTGGTAACGCTCCGTTATAGTCTCGAGAAGATCATTCACCCGAATTGCAGCCTTGGTGGGCTTGGTTGAGGTGAGGTCGACGCCTTCATAGTCGATGTGACCGCTATCCGGGGTGTCGACGATCTCCTTGTAGCGGGCCAATGCGAATTCCTTTTCAATCTGAAGCCAGCGGTCAAACCATCCTTGTTTGGTCAGGACTTCCCAGGTCATTCCCCGCCAGTCCTCGGTGGAGTAAGGGTCCGGTAGGTAGTTCCACGACTCGCGGACTTCGTTGTCAAAGTTCATCAACTCATGCATGAAGTGACTCAGGAGCTGCGGGTGATTTGAGATCTGAGGCAGAAACGTGGCTATCTTATGCGTCAAAACAGGGAGGAGCGCCGTGATGTAAGCGTGAGAGGCATTGTAGAAATTCCACCCCATATCCGTGCCGACGTTCTGCGCCTCCTGGTCGAAGATGGGTTGAAGGAACGAGGCGAAGAATCCCCCAAAGTTGTTGATCAAGTCCATAACATGAGCCAGGAAGTACTCGGGCTGTCCTAGATTAGAGACTAGTCTTCGTTACTGCTAGCGATATACGTACCTTGTCAAGCCTATTTGTCGGCTTGTCTCCGCTGAAATGGTACTTGAAGCGCAGTTCGAGCGGATGCACCATGACTTCCAATGGCAGTAAAACCGGCGGCTCAGCGCCGTGGTTTTTCGGCACAGAGGCATGAGACTTGAGTTCCCTATAGCTGATTGGTTACACCCACGCATTGAAGCTGTCCTTGATGCCACGTACGGTTTCTGCAGGTCCAAAAGCAGTTCCACATTCTCCCTCCACTGTGCCTGTATGTCCTCCGGAAAGTGTAGATCCTTCGAGGGCCACTTCATTTGCTCCATTGTTCCCTGTAGTCGTTGGGCGAAGTCTGATTTCATTTGCTCCCTGAGGGCGGACGATAGCTTCCCCACGTAGTCGACCAGGTGAGGGGCAGCTCCTTCTGCAGCCGGCTGAGCATCTCTGAGGGATTGGGCGATATTGCGCAGTCGGGTGTACGATTGAATCGCCGTCCGGGGTTGATCTTTAATATTGTTCAAGGCATCCTTGCTGTATCGAAGATCAGCGACCGTTGTCTTTCCCAGGACATGTTACAACCCCATACCTCAGATCTTCCGCCTCCTTCAGCAACGTCATATAACCCCTCGAAATCTCGAGCCTCCGCAGCTTCTCTATACTCGCTTCGAACCGTTTCGCTGCCTCATCGCTAGAATCCGACCCCGTGAGTTCCTTCAAGCGCCGGTCGATATCGGCCTGTTGCTCGTTGAATGCTTCGGCTTGCTTCCGAGTGGCTTCGGCATGGTCGTTGGAGGCTTTTGTGGCATTCGATAGCGCTTCGTGTGCCTCTGCTAGCTTTACAGTCAGCTTGTCAGTAGGTGTCTCTGAATGTCTGCTGTTAACTTAGGATGGGAGTACTGCTCTACCTGCTTGCGTTGGAGCTCATGCTGGGCTCGGAGACTTGACAGCAATGAGTCAAGACTCTCCAAGTCGGCAGAAACCTGCAGCTTGTCATTCAGATAATCCTCAACCCGAGTCCTCTCATGCGACGACAGGGCAGAAGCTGGAGTCGCCATTGTGGGTAAGCTGGCGGGGGAGAAACACGGGGAGAAGGACGAGGTGTCGCCAACTCCGCCTTGGGCATTTCCGCCCTTTGCTCCAGCTCATCTTCCGCCTCCACCGCAAACAACGTCACTCCCGCCCGCATTGCAGCCACTATGGAGCGCGCGGGATGGGCAATGTCGTATGCCATTGCCATACATCGTACACCTATATGAATGAGTTATAAACACCTTCGACATGTCCAGTCCAGCTAAAAAACGCAAGAGGGATGATCCCGGATCTACACCCCAGCGCTCCCGGAGCATAGCGTCATTCTTCCAGGGCCAGGCAGCCAAGCAAGCCGAGAAGACGCAGCAGGCATTTGATGCTGTACCCGAAGTCCCCACGGAACAAACTCTGTCAGACGAGGCGCTTGCTCGTAAGCTGCAGGCCGAATGGGATCAGGAGCATGCGCTTTCAAATCCGCAAGTCGACACGCCTAGTGATGAGCCTACTTCGGCACAATCAATCACAGGCGATAACGATCGGGAACCGGCCAAAGTGCAGAAGAAAGGCGTCCTGTCACTGCAGTCATCCACAGGCACGGAGGACACTGTATCTCTTGCAGTTCCTTTCGATCAGAGTCCTATCACGTTCGATGCCTCCAAATATGCGCACGAGCTGCAAGGACACTGGGCTTCGGAAGGTGGCGACGCTTCATACGCCCTCCTGACCAGAGCTTTTGTGCTCGCAAACGCCACAACCAGTCGCATCAAGATCGTCGATACATTGGTCAATTTCCTCCGCGTGTTGATTGAGGCCGACCCGTCCAGTGTGCTTCCCGCTGTATGGCTTGCGACTAATTCCATATCCCCACCATACGACGAATTGGAGCTTGGACTTGGCGGGTCCTCGATATCAAAAGCACTCAAAAAGGTGTACGGACTGAACAGCCAAGGCCTTAAAACTCTGTACGACAAGCACGGCGATGCTGGCGACGTAGCATTCGAGGCCAAGAAGAGACAGTCTTTTACATTGATGAAGCCTAAACCGCTTCGAATCAAAGGTGTCTACCAGTCGCTCAAGAAGATAGCTATGAGCAAAGGGAGTGGAAGCCAGGAGACAAAGCAAAGGATCGTCGAGAAACTTCTGCAAGATGCCCGTGGTGCAGAAGAGAGTCGGTACATTGTTAGAACTCTGGTCCAAAATCTACGCATCGGCGCTGTTAAGACTACCATGCTCATTGCACTGGCTAGAGCATTCCTGTACTCCAAACCAGAGGGAGCGGGATTCTCAATATACTCTCAGCGGGAAATGGCACAGATGAAGAAAGAGGAGCTGGCTGAGATCTACGGCAACGCAGAAGAGATCGTTAAGGCGTCGTATGCGAGACACCCGGACTACGATGACCTCGTCCCCTGCTTGCTTGAAGTCGGAGCTACAGATGAACTTCTTGTCCGCTGTGGTCTTCAGATACATATTCCGTTGAGACCCATGCTAGGCAGCATCACGCGGGATCTGTCAGACATGCTAACGAAGCTGCAAGGGCGCGATTTCAGCTGTGAATACAAATATGACGGACAGCGTGCGCAAGTGCATTGCGATGTACAAGGCAAAGTATCAATATTCTCCCGTCACTTGGAGAATATGACGGAGAAATACCCAGACCTGGTGTCTCTTGTCCCAGAGATAAGAGGAGAAGGCGTATCAAGCTTCATCCTCGAAGGGGAGGTAGTTGCCGTTGACCAAGAAACGGGGGAACTACAGGCTTTCCAAATCCTGACCAATCGCGCGAAGAAGAACGTCGATATCGGAGCAATCAAAGTCAACGTGTGTCTGTTTGCCTTTGACCTAATGTACCTAAACGGCCAACCACTACTCGACCGATCATTCCGCGAGCGAAGAGAGCTGCTACGGAGCTTATTCGTGGAAATCCCCAAACGGTTCACCTGGGTGAAGAGTCTTGACGCCACCTCAGCCGACTCCGAAGCAGTATTAGAATTTTTCAAGAGTGCCACAGACACCAAATGCGAAGGCATCATGGTCAAAGTGCTCGACAACATGCCGAAACCTGATCTCGAAGGAATTGACACACCAGCTGTCGACACTTCCAACGGAACACCCACCACACCCGGCCAACCAACCACCAACATGACAGACAACAAACCCACCAAAAACACCCGCCGAAAAGCCCTCCTCTCCACCTACGAGCCTGATAAGCGCCTCGAATCCTGGCTCAAAGTGAAAAAAGACTACAGCACCTCATCCGAGACCCTGGACCTAATCCCCATAGCCGGCTGGCACGGCCAAGGCCGCAAAGCGAAATGGTGGTCACCGATCCTCCTTGCGGTTCGAAACCCAGAAACCGGAGGTCTCGAAGCCGTAACGAAGTGCATGTCGGGCTTCACGGACAAATTCTACCAAGCCAACAAGGACAAGTACGCGGAGGGTACCCCCAATGTCATCTCCCGCCCCAGCTACGTCGAATACTACGGCGAGCCGGACGTGTGGTTCGAATCGCAGGAAGTTTGGGAGATGGCCTTCGCAGATATCACGCTGAGTCCTACGTACACGGCCGCTCTGGGATTAGTTAGCGATGAACGGGGTCTGAGTCTGCGGTTTCCTCGATTTCTCAAAGTCAGAGAGGATAAATCGATCGATGAGGCGACCACGTCTGACTATCTGGCTTATTTGTGGAGGAAACAGTCGGAACGGACGAAGCAGGAGGGGGGTGAGCCATTGGCTGAGGAGCAGGAAGAGTAATTAGATACTGTGAACGTTGGATGTAAGACACATACCTCTATATAATATAATCATTTACTACTTACTACTACTACAAACAACTCACTCTCTATATGGTAGATAGAAAACCATCACGTGCCCCTCTCACCACCAATACGTACTCACACTGTAATCCCAGATCCCTGATCTCAAGCTAACCCCAAACAAGCAAACTCCCCGATCCAACCGAGCCCGCGCTAAACCCAAAACAGCTTAACTTTAACGCGAAATCAACACGAATTAAACTTTCCCGAGAAGAAAAAACGCGTCGCGTAAACACAATTTTGCAAATTCGTTGTGTTAGCCGCACACGGGTCATTCTCTTTCCTTTTCCGGGTGGGAGGCATTGCGGGGTCGTAATTCCTCGTGACTTTCGTTGTCAGATACGGTTCCTGATGATAACTTACAGGGTTGTCAAGTGTAGACGTCATGAGGTAGAGACTTTGGTCATTGATTGAGATGTATAATCGTGTGGGAATGGTACTATTGTATTCTGCTTGATCAAAGCAATATCATGAGTATCTGTGGTTGATAGTAGGGACAAGGAACGTCAAGATTAACCGAACAGTGAGTCACACGATATGTTTGCACACAAAGGAAATCAGTTTCCAATAGTCCTCTGGAAAACATGGCATAAAGAAAATGGGGTATGTGGTATGGACAGGTGGCGTGTACATTATTTCGATAGTACCGGCCCACGACAGGGCGTGGCCGGATAACACAAGGGAACTTTGACTAGACATTGGATACAGTGGCGGGGTATGAAGGTGGGTAGAACATAACAGTCATTAGGAGTCATAAGCAATAGGGGTGGGGGAAAACGCATAGACAAGAAGGGTAGAATCTGTACATCCAGATTTATTTGCTTTTTTCCGGTCGCAGCTCTTCACCGAGTTGGAGGACCATGGCAGGCCCCTTTCCGCGGTTCCTCGGGCTGTCCGTGCTCGGGGGCAGCAGGCCGTCAAGATTAGATCTCTTTCGCTCCTTGTTCGCAAGGGGTGTTCTGGAGGGCCCTCCAGGCGTGCGACCGCCCCAGGGAGGTTGGGCAGGACTGGGTGTTACATTCACAAAGTCGGCAAAGTTGAACTGTTGATTCGGAGTGCCGAAGTTGGGGAAGACGCCGCCGCCGCCAGGAGTGGGTGTTAGTGACGGGAGAGCGGCGTGCTGGCTCGGAGGAGTCGACGGAGGGAAGTCCCGAGCCTGCTGCGGTTTGGCCGGAGTTGGGGAATTGGCCAGGTACAGAAGCAAATCTGCTCCGTCTGCATGCCGCAATTGTCGGTCGTTCCGGGATAGACGGGCGTGCTTGGGAGGAGGCGTGCGGGGAGGTGAAGAGCCTGCCATAGAGCTGACATGCTGAAAACTGTGAACGGGGAGGTCGGGGTCGTTGTCGTCTTCTGAGTGAGGAGGATATGCCGGCGAGGAATACTCGGGGATATCTGACATGAAGGGAAGGGGAAGGTGTCGGTTCAGGTGCTGTCGGTTGAAGCCTGGAGACGATTCAGGCAGGTGGTGTGAACTCTTCCAAGACACCCGGGGGGCTTTAACCGTACGGTCTGTAATCGAGTCCGATCGTAGACGCTTTCGGCTGGCAGACAGCATGGGCTGCATTGCCTTTGAATCGAAGGTTGCTGCATGTCTATTCCGAGACGATCGAGGGAGCTCCTTCGAATATGACGAGTTGGGCAAGGGAGGCGGAGTCAATGGGGTTTCACTCCGGCTGTGCGAGACCTCCGACGAAGAATCCGACGGCCTGTCACTTCCCAAGCACACCTGTATTCCGCCATTATGGTTTGGTCCGAGGGCCTGTAGACGTCCGTTCTGATATTTGACTTTGGCGAGGCCTAAACGATCCTGAAGGCTGAGGGACACCTAGTGGTGAAAGAAACACATTCGATTAGACTTGGCTTGGACAGACAAGGGAGAGAGGGTAAAAGTAAAATTTTAGACCACATCATGCAGAGCAAGGACAGTGCACATACCTGGGCAATGTCAATTTTGCGGATCGTCCTCTCCGAAGTTGAAGGTTGAGTAAGAGCCATTGCTCGGTAATATCGAGGACAGGAAGCGCTGTTCAGCCGGTAGAAGAGCTCTGGCAGTGAGCATCGACCGAAGACGGCTGATGAGGTGCGGGCCCTGAGAGTAAAGGGCTTGAAACCACGTCCAGGTTCGAAGTGGAGGAGTCAAGTCGGTGGTGCACAAGGGAGGAGGGGGGAGAGAAAGGCTGAGGAGAGGAGTCTGCAATGGGATCCAATTGGCAAGCGGAGTGACGAGCTAGCAGCCAGCCAGTGAGTGAGAGAGAGCAGTAGTTGGTTCAGTTCACCAGGCAAGTTTAGTCGGTGGTTTTAGTGAGGTTAGTTTGGGCTCGGGTCAGCAAAGGGAAGGGAGGCTATGGGCCTAAAGCAGCCACGAACTCTGGGGAAATCCCTTCTTCGTTTAGCGCCCACGGGCACGGAAGCGGCGAGAATAGCTGGTATGTATGGAAGTCGTCCGGGCCTGCCTGGGTAACCTGCAACCTCAAAGAAAACGGTCTTTGTGTTGGGAATGCGGGAAAGGCAAGAAGTTTCTTCAATTGAGGGAGGGTGGTGGATAAAGAGAGTTGCCATCGTCGCCAGTTTGAGCCAAGGGATGTTTTTTTCCCTCTGACGGATGGATTCCCCGGTCGCCGTCAATAGCAGCTGAATTCCTTACAGGTGACAGACTTGATAATTGATGCATCTCATTCTCTATTCGACATGAGTTTGATTATTCCTTCTCTTTCTTTGCTTTTTCACATCCCCTATAATTCATGACTCGTGAGGGCTTAAGTTATACTACACAAAAGTTGCACAATTAAACGCTGCGACTCGCTTCTGAAGCAGCCGGCAGACAACTCTCGTCCACTCTGAACCAATGATTCCTGCGATCATCTCGGAATGCACCAGCGCACCACTGGTCAGACACATGCCACAGAATTCTCCGATCCATTCATTCCTGCCCCTCTCTTTGTCTCGCCCGCAGCATTTCTTCAGCCGTGCGATTGTGGAGAGAGGAATTCTTCCTCCTCACTTCCTCAGTAGTCGATCGAGCATAATAACAATTCTTCCAATGATCGATGCCTGCCGACCGTAGGAATACTTCGTACTGACCCGGTCTTCTTCCTTTTTGGGTATGCCGATGTTCAAATAGTAGTAGACTTTGACCAACGCATCTCTACACATGGGCTGCCTATACTTTCCGAATGGGGAGGCCAGGCAGATGTTCAGTGTTAACAGCATTTGAGTATGATGGACACGGCAGTCAATCACGGAGTATCGGCCAGCCATATGGTTCATAAATACACTCGGCTGAAACAGAGAGCAAGTTATGAAGTAGGCGTTAGAGCAAGCTCTTCTGGAGCACGCGGGTCATTGTAAATACGCCTTTGCGGCGGCTATGGGCCGACAGTGCAACACTTCGGATTTGGCTGGACCGGGCGTTGAGTATGTCGGACCCCGAGCAGTGGTACCCGACATTCTAAACTCATCTTCCTGTTGCTTCTGTCGCCGCAGTTATCTATGTGTTTGCCTTGTGCTCTTGAGACAAACCCGCTAGCGGAGATCACTGTTCTAAAGGAAGTGATCATCTGTTGTTTGCTCCTTAGCTAGTTTGGGAGCTCATTGACTAACTTAGCAGATTGATTGCCATGATTATTCAGCGGGAAATGAGAGACAGAGAATTGCAAGCCAGCCCTACGGTGGTGGAGACTGGGTGGTCCTCGTGCAATGAAAAACCAGGGAGAGAGATTTGCTAGAGACGAGGAAAAGGTTGCGAAAGCACTGATAATTCGGGACAAAGCAACACGGGACGAGGTTATGGGACCCCAGTAACTAAAGAAACAGGGAACGCAAAAGCATGACGTGTACGAGGAGCGGCTAGTATGCACCTAGCTGAGAAGTACCATGCTCAAAGCCTCTCCGTTACTTAGAAGTATCTCACTCACGACCACAGTAAGCACTTAAGTAGGTGCTACTACAGCTAAGAAGAAGAGAGAGAGAAAAAAAAAGGTCCGCGGGCGGTTCTGATTGGGACTAAACCCCACAGGAACTAGAACAGCAATACTGCCGAAGTCATGAGTTACTTAACTATGCAGAAGATTCGCGAGGATCTGGGCGGATGATGACATTGCGCTGGAGCGAATCAGTCCGACCAAGTTGAGGGCGTGTGATAAGGAACAGAAGAGGTGGCAGGCTCCGACGCCGACTCACAGCCCCCAAGGAAGCCAACGAGATACTAATACTAACGAGGAGGGATATTAGCAGGATCCATCCAGGTTTGGGGATGGATGGATCTGGATTTCTGCTTCATGCGGACTGGCCCCGTCTCGTCCTGCAGGGTCTAAACCCTTCCGGGTAATCTCAGGCCCTCCAGGCAAACTGGCAGCTGTGGTTGATAAGGAAAGGGGAGAGGCGATGACGACCCCGAAGTACCACTACTTACGCTACTAATCTTTTAGTCCTTGGTAGCTGGGTGGTTGGGGCTCTGGCGTCCTTTTCCTTTTCCCTTTCTGCTAGTTTAGTACTCTACTCTATTCCGGAGATACTCCGTGAAGCAAAATGCCAGTGAAGCAATCATGGAAACGGGAAGTCTGATTAAAATCTGTAACATAGTTCGCGCATAGAGAAAAGGGAAGAGGAAGAGAGGGGGAGGGGCAAAGAGCAGGAATAAAACACAATGGAACAACGATGTCAACCACCCGCCTATGCTAGCAACTACTAGTTACTTGTTTGTGCTTGGAACGAAGAACTTGGTACCGTCCTCGCAGTCCCATGCTCTTTCCACTGGACGTGCTGGGGACATAAGACTCTTGGTTTTACTGCTTTAGTGTTGGTGAGACCTAAGGGGTCCCATGTTCTCCCTCCAAAAAAAGCACTGACTCTTGCGCGGTCCCTATCTACTTAAACTTGTACTGGTTATCTTTCTTCGCCAATTTCTACTGGAAATCTATTTTTCTTATCTACCCCCTTTTTGTCATCCTGCAGAGGCCCGGTCTACCCTGAAATATGAGACTCCAAGTTACTCCGGGACCAGATAACCGGCCAGGGTCATTAAGGGTCAGATAAAGCCCCATTTGGGGGGAGGAGAGGGGATGGGGGGAGGGGGTTAGGAGGGGGCAAATTTGACTTGCTGGACTTGACTAACTTACTCCTACTGGACATCCTAGTCAGCACGCAGGAGCAGTGCGATGCAGAGACTAACAAAGTAGCAAAGCACCGCCAACGGAGACAAATATAGCCGGCGATCGTCTTGGCTCCACCGTCTCGGGTGGTGAGACGGTGAAACCAAGAAGGCTATCTCTTCCCGCCCGTTGGCCAGTGGCCGCCAGCCTACGTAACACATCCTTGTCTATTCGCAACGGACAAGAAGCTGCAGCTGGATGCGCCCCACTGCAGAGTGGCAGTTGCGTTTTTAGTGCCTGGACCAATTTTACTTCTTTTTTTTCTTCTTCTTCTTTTTTCTTTTTTTTTTTTCCTTTTTTAAATTGGTGTTAATTATTACCATCGTCATTATTATATTAGTATATTTAGAACGATAATTTTAAATTATTATCATCGTGGGCTGGACACCGAGAAGTGCCATATTGATCACTCTCTATACCTCTCACACTGTACTTGGTATTTTTTTGGAAACAAAGTTCCCTCCCCGAGACCGATGATCGGGTTCGATTTGATTTTTCTAGATGGAAACAGATGGAGGCTGGAAGGGAAGATGAGCCGATAATCAACGTCGTTCAACCCGAGTTAGTTCGTCATATTAGTGGTCAGATCTGATTTCAACCGAAGACAGTAACCACCAACTAAGATAGTAGCATGTAACTAACTCCCTCACTAAATTCAAGCCACGCAATGAGACAAGAAAAGAACAGAACAAGCTTTGGGTTCGAAAGGAGGTACTGGATCTAGGTCTTCGTCTACGCCGATTAGAGACAGGTGAGATTGCATTATTATTTGCTGTCTCACATACCAATGACATTATTGTTCGCGATTAGCTCTTAGTCCAGGCACTAATCGACTCCATCCTGATTTCTCTCTCTCTCTCTCTGAGTCTCTTGTCTCCAGGCTGGCTTGCTTGCTTGCTTGCTTTGCCAATTTGCCAATTAATTCCCTTTCGTTCCTTTTCCCTTTTCCCTTTCCCTTTCCCTTTCCCTTTCCCCCCTTCTGCCTGTCCTGTCCTGCCCCCTCCCTCTCCCTCTCCCCTCTTTTCCTCGCTCTTCCCCTCGGAAAGTCCCTCGTTCCTTGTTTCTGGGATCATTCCTGGGTTTTATAATTTTTTTTTTTTCTATTTTTCTCTCTCCCCCCATCATTCCACTTCCTTCCTGCCAGCTCGCTAAATGGACTTCCGCTAAGTCAATTGTCACTTGACGTTCCATTCCAGCCTTTCCTCTCGTTTATACTTTCATCCTCGCCCGGTTCCTGGATGCCACTCTGGTTGATGCGGGGTGTCTCTGCCATTCGTTCGTCACTCGCTGCCGCAAACGGTCGCTCTCCTCTTTCTCTGATCTTCTCGTTGTCGTCAACGCTGAGCTGTCCACGAATCTCTCGTTAAAAATAACAAAAGAAAAGAAGACCAAAAAAATAAAAGTAATTGAAAACCATTAACAAGAGAGAGAAAAGAAAAGAAAAAAGAAACAGCGTTTGAATCGCAGTCGCTCGTTCATCTATCCCTGGCAGATTACTTCTACTTGGCTTTCTCAATTAGAAGAGTCCAGTTCATTCCTCCCTGAAGAAGGCAAAAACGAGGCAAAGGTCACTCTTGCCTTCTCCGGTATACTTACTGCCCCATCCACCAACTACCCTCCGGCCTTCTTCTTTCTTCCATAGCAGCAACAGCAACCAGCAACCAGCAACACCGCCCATCATGCCGTTGTTTAAACAGCTCCGTCGTCGCTCGAAAGCCAACATTCACCCCAGCAAGTCAGCGCCAGAGACAAAGTCCAACGAGTCTCAGTCCAATGGGGAAATGACTTCGGGAAAATCATCATCCACGCTTGAAACAGCCTCCTACAGCTCTCTCACTCCACCCTCGTCAATCAAGCCAACTCTCTCTTCTCCCAATCTACCATCCCTCAGCGAAAGCAACGGCACCTCCAACAACGCCGTCTCTCCTCTTTCTGCGCCTCCCCAACGCCCTGGCCTGCTCACGGCTCCGTCGCAGCGGAATAGCGCCTATGTAAGTGTGACCCACTCCGGGTGCGGTTCCTTGACTGACCACTTGGATTACTCTCTGCAGTTTGGCAGTAATATGTCTGTCAATGGGGCTGTGCGGTCGCCTACTCCCTCCTCTCCTTATGCTCCGAGGATCATCTCCATCTCCGATAACTCTTGGGTTTGTACTCCGCTACTCTTTTTTTCTGATTCCTCGTTACTGGATCAATGAGCGTATTCAGGGCTGACTATTATTACTTCCTCCACAGGTCCATCAAAAGGTACTGCTGGTGTATGGCCAAATAGGAGACCCAAGACAACATCCGCTGGACGGAACTGTAACGGTTTCCCACCATCAGGACAGCTTCCCCTCGGTCCCGTGGCCCGTTACATCTGCTCACTTCAAGACCCTGGTGCACCTGGTTCCGGGGCCGAATCGCCTGCGCTTCGACTTTGTCACAGCCAAAAATTCGTCTGGCAGTGCGCATCAGACTGTCCATACGTCATATATCTGTATCAACTACCTTCCCTTGGTCAATACGCCGCCCTTGCACCTCGTCGTTCTGCTCGGAAAGGACTCCGATGGCACATTTGACGCCGTGCCCGAGAGACAACAGCGGGAAGGAAATGGTCTCGAAACTGCGATCCAAAAGTACCGCATGGCGGCGTATCTTTGGCAGGCATTCACTAGTGAACAGATGTTCCGTAACAATTTTGGCCGTCGGTGTTTCCGGTTCGAAGAAGAATGGCAAGCAGGCACTTTGAGCCGCCGTGATGCCCTCAATGGCCAGATGCGGAATGAGGCCAAGGTCCACGTTGTCCGGACTGACAAGACGGTCGCAGAGCTCAGAGATCTCAACCTCGCCCAGCAGAATGATTCTGCTACCCACAAGGATGAACTGTTCCGCATCGCAAGAGATGCGGTGAAAGACCATTTCCGTCTTCGACCCGGTCAGAAGCAGTACGTCTCGGTCTTGCTTCTCGACTCCCACTGGGATGTAGGCACCCAGACCATCACTGGCCACGCCGCTCTGGGCTCAGGCACCGGGGATCTCAAGCTAGCGATATTTGGCTCCCACAGCCTGCAGAGCTACCCCACCAGCTTGGAGGATGTTGTAGACGCCTTGTCGGACTGCACCAGGACTGACACAGACTATGTGGCTAACGATTCCGGTGAGGGCGGTTCCAGCTGGGAAGCCGCTAACATCGGTATTGGTGCTCATCTCCATGAAGTCGGACATCTCTTTGGATGTCCACATCAGGAGTCGGGTATCATGCTCAGGGACTATGTTCGTCTTAACCGGACTTTCCTTACACGTGAGCCCTTTGCGACTCGGACAAAGACGCAGGGCCTCAAATTGTGCCTACCTCAAGATGAGTGTAGTTGGCATCGGCTGGACACTTTGCGTTTTCGGTTCCACCCCTGCTTCCGGCTTCCCGGCGATGCTCCTGTGGGCTCGGACGATAGCGTCTCGGTTTGGCCGGTGGAGAACGGTAAAATCGTTTTCACTGCCTCGACGGGTATCGCATTCATGGAACTCTACGCTGAAGGCGACAATGTATGCCACAGCTTTATCGAATACTTGAACAGCGAGTCGAGCAGCAACGGACTGCCAAGGCAGGTCACGGTGACGGAAAGCGAACTGCGACAACGCGTGTATGGAACCGAGAAAGAGAAGAAGAAGTCTATCCGTGTGGTCGTCTACTCTGGCGCCCTCGGGAGTCACAACATTGACTCGGTTAGCAATCTGAAGTCGAAGCAGAACTTGGTCAAGCTTCCCAAGAGTCATACCGGGTACAGAGGAAACAAGGTGGGCCTTTCGCAGCTCGAAGGTAGTGAACCAGAGCAGCTGCTGCTTGACTGTGCCTCTGCGTCGTCGACTAAGATCCTTACCTCTATTCGGATATACCATGACAATGCGCTCTATGGTCTGGAATTCTTCTACGAGGATGCTACGAGCCAGCTCTTCGGCAATCGTGGTGGGAAGCCTGATGATTTTGTGCTTGGTAAGTGCATGGCGCAGTTCTGATGGGATTGTGCGATTATGGTCTAACAAGTTGACAGATACCCGGAGAGGTGAAATTATACTTGGCTTCTATGTTCGCGCTGGAGCGTGGGTCGATGGCATCGAGATTTTGACCAGCCAGGGCAGGAAGTCTGGCATCTATGGAAACGCCTCGGGAGGCTCAGGGTATGAACAAGCCTGTTTCTGCCTCGTTACTAAACCCGCTTTTCTAACGGAAATCCAGGTACACTCTGATCCCCCCACTTGGTTATAAGATTGCCGGCATTTCCGGCTCCAGTGGACCCTGGATCGACAGCTTCTCGCTGGTAATCATGCATTGATCATTGCATGCCAATCAAAGGATTGCCAACGCTTGCAGCATAGGTGTTGATTAAGTCTTGCGAGTCATCGCTTCGCTGATGATGGCCATACTTGACCCGCCTTGCAGCACCTGGTCCAGACCTTGAAGGAGGTTTCAGCAACATATCACTCAACTTGGGCATGCGCCTTATGCCAGTCACCGAATGAACCGTCTCATGATCTTCACTCATGAATACAGATGCGCTTGCGTCTGATGTCACCTGCAATTCGGCCCAGCTCGACGACTTCTGTTGGCCAGCAGCAAGGCCGATCATCGAGCGGAATCGTTGGCAGACTAGAGCTGCGCAGTATGTCTGCCCCGCGCCTTCGAGCGCACATGTCTATATTCCATTACATTTCCTGTTTTTTTCTTGTGGGCTTGCCATTTGAATCTTGACTGTCTACATTGGGCGGCGCCCGGGAGTTGCGGTGGCCTTCAATCCTTGTCGTTTCTTATGTCACTTCTTTCTTTCTTCTCTCTTTGCCGGTTCGATCAGTGCTGAGGGACTGTTACTGAATATATGGAACGGGTCAGTACACGGTGCATGCCATGAAATAAGCGGGACTTGGATCATGGCGATTCATACTGGGGACATATTTGTTTAGGGGACATAATTGATAGTTGGCCGAATGGCCCATAGATAATTGCACATGCTCTGCATCTGCCAGTGATGGCACTTGATTCGTCCTAATCTACTGCAATAGATGTAGCGTAGAGTTTGGTAGTTACACCTTGGCAGATGTGCAGACGATTCTGGAATAGAACGAGGAAGATTGATGGCGGATAGATGCGTCGGGTAGATAGCTATCAAACCATCCGTGACAGATCACCTGCTTCTCTTAAGATGTCGTGTCTGGTGGCTGGCTGACGATTCAGTATAGCTTCGCTGCACTCAATCGCGATCCGCAACGGATGAAAGATAGATCGCGATTTGCATGCGGATGATATGCATGGCATCGAGACCGGTCATACCCTTAGTATGACTTGCATCTAGCTAGGGTATCAGAGATAGCGAAGACCATTATCCGAAGCAGTGACCACATCCTACCATCTACGATGCATACAAGAGATGGAACAGACCACGAGCCTGCAATAAACCATCATACAAACGCACCCTACATCGTCATGGATGGGTGGTGACTAGAATCATCCTCACAAACTCTCACTCTACCCATAATATGCCTCAACTCGTCTCCTATTGCTTCTTCCATCCATACACATGTCTCTCTTACCCCTTTTAGTTCGGACCGGTGCAAATCGAACCTAACTCTGCATATACTTCTATTGCTTGCTTGCTCTAGTGCGTCGATCGATCAACCTTTCGTTTTCTTCTTTCCTTTTCCTTTCTTTCCAGTGAGTGCGACAACCACCCACCCCCCCCTTGGTTTAGTTTGGTTTGATCGCCATCAGCCTTATGGTTCAGCCACGGCGTCAGGTACCCTACCTAGACCTTGGGACCCTCAACCAATGGATCCGTCCCGTGTCAGCCATACCGAACGCCATCCAGTCAGCCAAGATGCTGGATGATGGGGTGGCGCTGTAGGATTGGCACAGGACGATTTGGAATACCCTCCGTGTGTCACCTGCTCCTTTTTCTTTTACCCCCTCTTCTCTTTCTCTTATTCTTCGGAAAGGAAGAACATGGAGGAACCTTCTTGCTGGATGGGGAGTAGTGGTGATCTATGAGACTTTGTCACGTTACATGTTGGCTTGGGGTTTGTACTCCTTCCTTCATGGGACTAGTAGAGTAGATGGATAGGGGACCGTTGAGGGTTGGTTGATTGATTGATTGATTGATTGATGGAGTAGGACTCGCTGTTGGGGATGTGGCTGCATTGGTGTCTGTGCGGGGATCGAGCTCCATACTTAGTAGTTGCTTACAGTTTGGGGCCGCTGGACGGATGGACGGTTGTCAAAGCTTGCTTCTTTTACTTCTTTGGGATAGTATAGTCACTTAAGTGGTTGTGTCCAACCTTGTTAGTATTCTCTGATGCTACGTTATTAGTTGGGTGTAACTTGCGTAGTTAGTAGTGATTATCAAGTTGTGAGGGTATCTTCTGCATAGCAGTTAATGTGAGTGCAACGGAGTACGGAGTATCTTGATAGAGGTGTTAAGTCTGTCTATTATTACTACTTACTTATCTTATCCCCTATATCTAGATAGACCTACCTATAGTTACAAGATAGAAGTAACATACCCTGTGTGTTAATTACATCGTACTACCGGTAATTACCAGGTCCCTTCCCCTCAGGTGACCAAAGACTAAGCAATTCGGTTACGTTCGTATCAGAAGGACCAGTATTCATGAGTATAGTATACTCAGTAGGTATGGTATGCATGCACCATATTTTAGGAAGAATGCGAATCAGGAAAACAATCATCAATATCAGGCACCGAACAATTGATTCATTGGGCATCAGCATGGCAGCAAAGCAAGTGAGCGACCGTTCGAACATTCCACATTGATTCCACGCAAGGGGAAATGAAAACGCAGCAGTCAAGATTTGTAAAAGGCAGCAGAAGAAGATTACTACTCACTTACGGATCAATAAAGCCAAGTGCACTAACTAGTCCTGTCACTATCTACGCCACAATGGGATTATTTCGGGTCATCTTCATCGATCAATCGGTTCTTTGCTGTGTGCTGGGGAGTATTAAAAGGCGCGTGGTAAAATTAAAGTAGATCTTCCTTTTCTGTCTTATTTCCTATGTGCTTTACTGCCTATCTGCAAATCTATTCATCTGTATTTCCCCGAGCAGAGTAGTTCACATAGTCCGGAGTAGGCTATTGCCTGAAACGGATGAATATCAATTCAGTCACATGTAATGTATGTATTGCTACCTGACCGGAGAATTGTTTCATGGAACCAAGTTTTCCTGAGAACCATGGAACAATAGTTCCTTGGGATGGGATGAAATTCAATTGGACCTACTCATATGGTAAGGTGTGTATTTCCTCTTTCGTTTGGTTTTGATCTTCTGGTTCTTCCTCTGCCCTAGGTATAGGCAGTTGTATGCAGCCACTAAGCCATGAAATACTGCTCTCTTACTTACACGCTGTAAGTAAGTATGGTATGGCGAGCATAATAATAGAACCCCATTTGATCTGCTCAGTAAGTAATAGGGTCCTTTCTCTTTTCCCCTTACCCATAGACTGCTCAGCTATCATGTAGGTCACCAAGTAGGTAGTAGATCTCCCCATTCGTCTACTTACTTACATAAAGTATCTGTCTGCCTGTCACTCCACCCACTGATCTTATGAGTAAGTATCGAGATGATCACCCACCCACACACACACACCGGTCGCCAAGCGCACGCCATACTTCACTTAATTACCACGGAGGCAAAAAGAATGAAAGGGAATCAGTCGGTACTTTTTAAGCATATCCCGAATCCCGAATCTACATACCCGCATTCAGCAAAATGTCTCACTTGCTTACTCTTCGACGTTCTGAGCACGGGGCACGGAGTCCTCCGTAGTTTTGACACTACGCTAGTCAATTAGATAGTAAAGAATGATCTCTGATCCTTTCTCTGAACACGTAATGATAAAGTCATCGCATCGCATTGCATCGATCGAATGAATCTGATCCCAAATGACAACGGTAGATCGATCCCGCTTCCGTTCGAACCGACAGACAGACAGACGGGAAGACAAACATAACTAAGTTCCACATCCGCGGCCTCTCAACTGATACTAGTATATTTGCCACCACGCCCGGCACATACACTCCTAAACATCCCTGCACCCTCCCTCTTCCTCTTCCTCCTCCCCCCCTCCATCATATCCTCTCTGCCGTGTCAGACGGCAGAGAGCGGGATTGCGTGACCTCTTCTGATTCGATCGGAACCATGGATCACACAGCCTCACGCATTCTCATAAGATTCATAGGATAATAATTCATAGAGCTAAGAGTGGCAGCAGTTTATGTTGCACTGCCATAGTGGCTTACTTCATTGTTCTAGTTGGCTGATTTTACTCTCCGCGGGGGTGGTTAGTTAATATGAACTGACTGGGGAAATCCATGTCGTGCATGCCATCGCTCGTTCGCCTCATCTTTTGATGAGTTCATTGCCGAAGGCGGTAATGCCGGTTGAATTCAAAAAGTAATTGTATTTTTCTTGTTGTCGTTGGATGATGTTGATTGAATGAAATGACTGGTTGAAGTTTACGTTATTCCGTCCTACTGACTTGACGACTTCCTTTGTGAATTACAAAAGTACTTACTTGGCTGTGGTCTGTGAGTTATCTCATTGATTACTTTTTGTGGTTACACTCATCAATCAGCTGAAGTTTATTCTTCATCCGCTTAGTAGTATAGAGAGTGGCCGTTGAAAGTAGTAAGTAGTAATTGGTCATGACTGGTTATCGTATCCCGCTCTACAAACACAAACAACACACTAAATGAAAAAACACAACCCACACTGTAAACTCCTGTAAAGCACATACCATCGTATATACATTGCCAGTACATAATATCATACAACTATACCATGATACCCACTGACCCCAATACTAAACCACCAATATACCCGACCCCGACTGAAGAGGGGAGGGACGAGAGGAGGGGCCACCCGCCTCATCGCCACCGGCCCAGTAATAATGGCTTTCTCGCCCCGGAGATTATATGCGGATTGTTCCTCAGCTAAGAAATCTTGACTGCGGTTGCGAACGAACCACTTGCATCCACACCTATGGCCCGTCCGTCGGGCTGTCCATCCCTGCCATTTATTTTTTTGTCTTTCTTGACTGGATTTGGCGGAGCGGGTAGGTTGTTCCAGATTTCCGGATTTAGAACCCACTGGATGAGAGGGATGGATCTTGGGATGGGTGGTTTCTTGGGTCATCGTAGAGCGGAGTTAAAGAGGATGCGTTAGTGGGTTGGTTGTGTAACTGTTCTCCCTTCCGTGTTTTTTTTTTCTCGCTGTTTCTTTCCTCGATGATTAATTGTTATTCGATTCTCTCGGGCAATTGAGACTTGCCCAACAATCTGTTGCCTACGGAATACTATCCACGAATAATGAATTGCTTTTGACGTCTACACCTCGGGTTTTTGTCTTTCTAAGGTATGCTGCTATGGATCTGCCACCCCTTTATTATCTGTCATGTATGTACATGGTTCCTTTTATTCCTTCTATCGAAGAAGTGTCATAATTCAGGAATAAAGTGCGACAAACATACCGAATGCGGGCTATATTTTCCTTGTTATGGGTTCCGTCCCATAGGACAGGACACACACAGTCTCCAGTTATCTAGTAGTTGATGTAAGCAAGCATGTATGTTGTCATGCAGCACGACATGACTTATGTGACTCGAAGGGTATTAGCCGCGCAAGAAGCTTCCGCGAATAAGATTGCTTCTTCAAGTAGTACACCATAAGTAAGTATGAACTTAGAGAGTGAGACGGGTTGTGTGTGCCTTGCTGCTTGCAGTTCTTCAGCTTCCTTTCTCTATTTTGTAGTAGGTTATTCGTGATGTTTCGAGGTGGTTTTTGTGTCGATCTGTTCACGAGAATGTTGTTCTATCTGGTTTTTCGTGTATTCCTGTCATACTACCATGGACTGCTATGGCAGTGATCATACGAGGTTTGGTATCTGGGGATGAATATAAATATATGATGTTGCTGATTGCCGCAATTAACTTCCACTCCGGTATTGAGAGAGTTCGCTTCGAGCGCGAATCCACAAGTCTGAACCTGTTTCTCTATACGACACGATAGAGTCTCCTGACGGATTCTATCGAATCATTGTATGTCAGGAGTGGGCAGACAGATAAGCAACAACATGACAGGGGGCGGAGGGTTAGAATGGGACCGCATCCCTCCCCGCGATAAGAAAGGACTGACTCCAAAACATACTAAAGCAGCCACAATATACACCTCATTGAAGATCTCTTGATCACGACTGGTCGAAAGTAAAGGATTAATTACTACTTGTCATCTTATGCATGCCGTCTACACCGACTTGAGTCATGAGCAGGATTGACTAAACACTTTTATCATCGGAAAGAGAATGCATCGCATTGCACGCATCTCTTCTGCAATTAGTTTAGCATCTCATTTACTGTGTAAGTATTGATGCTGTTTCTGTTGCTGTGTGCTGCGTCTAGACCGATCCCGTCCATGACGTTAGGCGAAAGCACTAAGTACCACCCCAAAAGATTTTCAAAGCAGAGATGCGGCAATGCGCAATGCGCAATGCACCTGCGCATGCTGGTGGAGAAACCGAAAAAAATAGCTAAATAAGGGATTGTGCTAGTTACACTGTAAGCAGCAAATTAAGAAAAAAGAAATAATAGAAAAAGGAACTCCTGAATGCTATGATGTAATCCGGGGACTGCCCGTCTGCGTGAAACCGCCAGCAATTGGTGCATTAGTGGCGGGTCTTTTATCCCCCCCCCTTTACTCGGAGCAGTCGTCCAACAAATCAGAGGGAGCGTTGTCATGAATTCTATCGCGCGACACTTTGTTTAAATTGAACCTATCATTTCCACTCCAGGTAACTAGGGTACTATAGCAATCGTCAGCTCTGAAATTCCTCCAGATGGCAGGCATGAACTGTCAGCGCCCCCCTCCTCTCTCTCACCCCGGTACCCCTGAGACACATGACGTAACCGGTGCTTCTTATCTTCGAAAGAGGAAACAGATCTCTATGTTTTGGTGTTTTCGTCTGATCATGGGCATGTATATTAGGAGACTGCGTTCATGGACGAGATCTGTTTGGTCGGTGCCTTAAGTGTCTTTTCTGCCTTCTTTCACTTCAGGTGTCTCCCCAATCCCTAGTGAGTATTGGCTGAGTACCGTGTGTCGCTGACTAAGGTTAATTACGGGAGTGTCACTTTCGCATTCCCCAGGCCAACGACACGGCTGTTTAGGTAATAAGGTTCTGAGGAACTCCGTCCGATGTGACCCGGGGTCCGACATCCCATGCTTCTGATTGGCGGGACATCATCCCAAGCAATCGGCATCGGTCTAGCCCTACATACCTTTACATTTCTCATACAATCCCTGTACGCAGTATAATACAGTATCAGCCGTCGTAGCTCGCAATAAAGTGTAGAGTCCGATATCTCTGGTCGGTGAGAAGAATGAGATTTTTTCGAGACGTAGTTCTGTCCAGGAGTTAGTTTTACTTTCTTCTGTTGACCTGCAGCATCAAGCAGTGTGAAACCAAACCTTGTGCGTCTGTGCTTGGCGCAGGTTTGTGTCATAAAAGTCCATATCCATGGTTAGTGGGCGCTTCATGGTTCGATGCTCCCCAGTAAGACCCCGTGCACGACAGAATAAGCTCCCGGCCCAGCTTTCGACTCCATTTCGACTCCATAACTGTCGCTTAGGGAAGTCGGGATGTTTCACTTCCAAGCACGCATTGGTAGTTATTTTACCCACTCGCTCCCATTTCTCCATGTATATGCGTCCTCCACTCTCCTGAGGTCAGTCAGTCAGCCTGGATCCCAGCTGCCCGCAGCTGTATGTGTGTGTGATCCATCTGATCTGCCCCCTCATCATCCCTTTTCTTTTCTGACCTCCTTGCCCCATGTCGGTATGAAATAATGCGAGACCAATTGCAGACCGTATAATTTGATTTGAGTAGAGATGCGTTGTCAGAATAGATAGATAGGCCGTGGGGAGGAGCGCTACTACCTACCCAGGATGCGGACACCGTCAATCATATAATGACACTGGTGCCATGTGATAACGCTTGCAGATCAATAGGCTGAGGTGGTCTGGCCGGATGCCTACTTCGGCAATAGTCCGGCTTTTTTTTCTTTTCTGTGAAATTTAATGTCAATTTGGCGGCTCCACTTAAGTGGACAAATTGGGGTCGGAAGGAGGAAAAACCAAAAGATGTTTCTAGATACCTCTTTTTGACGTTAGTCCCGCGACCGGATACTCGCGAGGCTGGGCGTGAGTGAGCATAGTAGCAGAAACAGTAGCACCAGCAGCTCCCTCGCGTATGTACAGGAAGGAGGGGAAGGAGACCACCCTCTCTCCAAAACCGGGATCAGTGTTGTTGTTGTTGTCCTTCACTGCCAGCCTCGGGAATGTCCCGTTTCTTTCCCTTTTCCTTTTCCTCCCTGACGAGAACAGGGTGTATGTTTGTCGGCAAAGTGTATTAGCAAGTGTCATAGTCGTTGAAGGAAATATTCGGTACGCTGTGCATTATGACCGCGGTTCAGAGCCGCGCCATAGATACTGAAAGGGGATATAGGTAATTAAGTAACCTAACTGAGTAGCCAGAGAAGGTATGTACTTTTACATGCACGTCCAACTCAAAAGAACCACCCACTACTACCACATCGGTAAGGATACCTGAGTTACCACTGGCTTGGGATGGGCTTACAGATTTGTGGCTGATCGTTGGCTGCTAAGGTACCGCCCGTGAAATGTCCCAGGTACTGTGTAGGGCTGTGCGCAACGGCAAGTCAATGACTTTTCTCTCTGCATTATCATGGGGCTGTCAGTGCACTGCTGTTACTGTGTTCTGTTTCTTGGGTAGGATGACGTAGGACCCGGATTTACAAAAGGTGCCTGTTCATTGGGAAATCGGAAATCGGCTCGAACCCACTTCATTGTATGGATTGATGCCGTATCGTGGTCGCTTCGGGGTTAGTGATAGGTACAGGTGGCTTTCTATACCTATTATGTATTATTGCTCTGGGGCCTACTACACCACCAAGAGCCCACACTGCATCCTATATGCACCGGTTCAACAAGGCAGGATAACCGAGCATAGGAGATATGATGATCCGAACGTCTGGAATGTCGAGGAACAGGTTATCATGACTGTCGGGGAGTCATTGAAATGTGGCAGAGATGTTTGGCAGTCCTATCTATGCTAGCTCGCTATCTATCTAGTAGTGGTTATAACAACTAGTCAGTAGTTCAGGTGTAGTTGTTGTTGTTGATAGTATAATACAGAAACCGTAAAGTACAGCTGTATATGGGAAAGGTATTATACCAATGTAATACGACGGAATATTACTACTTACCGGATCCACACCACCCCTCACACCCTCCCCACTGATCCTGGGTCTCTTCTGGTTGAGTCCGACCCAGAAAATCATCTCGGAGACTGACCCAGAGATTAATCTACTTTTCCGAAAAAAGTATATTTCTGAGAAAAAAAATGAATTTAGGGAAAAAGAAATCACACATCAGAAAAAGAAAAAAAAGAGAAAAGTGGATTAAATAGAGGAAAAGAATAGCAGGACGCGACAGAGAAAGAAAGAGAAAGCACAGAAAGGACAGAAGAGTTTCTGGAAGGTTTCCTTCATACCTACCTCATTTGCGCTTTTTTATCACTCAACCAACCGTTATTATTGCACGTCACCACGCCTCCCATGTGGTCCCTTTTTCTCTTCTTTTATTAATAACTATCACATTCTTTCCACAAATCCTCCGATCCCAGAAAAGAAAAGAGAAAGGAAATCTCTTTCTGAATCTTTTAGGACTGCTTTGCTCCCTTCTCAGTGCTCTCAGAGGTACTCGGCTTCATCCTCTCAGCGTCCATATCCACCCTACATCCGAACTATTATTGGGGGCTTGTCTTACCGTCTAGTTCCAGCAGACTCCCCCAACATTCATCATCACCTTCCTCTTTCCTCTCTCCTCCCCTCCTTTGGGCCCTCAAGTACTACTTCCCCTTCCTCCTTCTTTTTCTTTTTTTCTACCCTTTTATCGTCTCCCCGCTATTCCTGTACATTTTTATACGGCATACGTATCTTCTTTCTTGCCTGTCGCTTCCTCTCCTCCTCTCCTCTTCCTCTTCTCCCTCTCTGTCGTTTTTCTCCTTCCCTTTCCCTCTCCCTCTGCAGTCGTCCTCATTCTCCCACCGCCGCCTCTCATATGATCTTTGAGTAAGGGGCGCATCCGCTATAAACCCAATACCTGCCAAAACCCACTCTCGTCTTCGAACACCACTCGGACCTCTTCCCCAAATTATTCCCACCCCCTCCTCTCTTTGTCTCCGCTCCTCACGATCCTCGATATCATCTCCAAGTCGCCCACTTTGTGGTCGCAATCCCTGCGATCGCTTCTCTTCCTCCGATAGACGGTGATTGGGATGTGACACTTGAGCCGTTTCCACCGCAGTCCAGAAATACCAGTGTTTTTTCCCACACTCCTAAATAAAAACGGCTCGGGGAACGTATACATACATACAACCACCGCCCTTCCCTTTCCTCTCCGAATAACTTCGAGGCCCGGATCGAATAGCGCTTGGCGATCCGAATGCCACCTTCAGCCTCCGACGCCTTCTTGTTTCCTCCTGGATTCCACGTCTCTCCATAAATCATTAAGCGCCCGGGCGAACTTCAGAACGGAATAAGTATTTAATTACCTCCGACCGCGTCGATGATGTTCCGCAACAGGTACGTTGCTATACTGAATACCGATGCGGCGCTTTACCGACGGGTCGCCGGCCATTCTCATGCTGACCGGACTACCACCCTTGCAGAAAGAATTCCCAGAAGCCAGACGACGAGCTCATCCAGAGATTCCAAAAAACTTTCTCAGACGTTGTTCCCCCAGTCACTCACCGCAATGCCACGCGCTTCGGTCAGATGCCCATCGGACCTATCACTCCAGCTAGGTAAATATGCCTTCCATTTTCTGTCTCTGTCGTTTCTGTTCTCATCCTTGTTTGGTTTGATTTGAAGCTCGGAACATATCTTTGGGCGAGAGCTAACATGATAATTCTGCGCCAGACTAAGTATGAATAACGACCTGAAGCTCAATGACCCTACACCCCGCGCCACAGAAGATATGCGGTTCGCAGCGCCTTTTGTCGATCCGAATGCTGTCTCTTATGTAAACCCACTGCAACCACATGGCTACTATACTCCCAACTCAGGTGGGCTGGGCGCAGTATACCACAGCCAAGCAGGAGATTTGCATACCCCTGGCATGGGTATGAGCATGATTACTCCGCTATCCCTCCCGCAGCAGATCTCCGCGGCCACCATCAACCCCGGCACTGCGGCTTTGGGCCTCGATCATTTCGACCAGCAGTACATCCCGCCACACTTTCACAACCCCCAACCCTTTGCTCAGCAGCCAGCGTTTGCGCCCGGTGCTTTCGTTCAGAGCGATGCAGGTTACGATGCCATGGACGATTCTGTTGAAGAGCTCTCTCTAAATGATGTGGACATGCAGGGTAATGCGTCTTCCCATTATGTTACATCAACAATCCAGGACGATCAAGCGAGCATCCAGAACCCAGGTGAAACGTGAGCGCTCAACCCTTCCCTCATCATGTCTGTTCTAGTATTAACCGTGCTGGACGCTGCAGGTTTCGCTATCATGTCACTTTGCGCGCTCCCACAGCCATGATCAACCACCAAGCCGAAATCCCAGTTACCTATCTCAATAAAGGCCAGGCGTACTCAGTATCTGTGATTGATTCTACTCCGCCGCCCATGACTACGCAACCGATCAAATATCGTACCTTCATCCGTGTGTCATTCCAAGAAGATGAGCAGAGGGCAAAGCCGGCTGCTTGTTGGCAATTATGGAAGGAAGGTCGCGGTTCCAATGAAGCGCATCAACGAGGCGGCAAGCTCCAAGCAGTGGAATATGTCGATCCCATACAAGGCGGCATCGAAGACACGAAGAACCGGCAGATTCAGCTCGAGAGCTCGTCGTTCGATGGTTTTTGCGTCACGTGGACACTCAACCCGTCAACTGGAGTTTCGGAATGCTCAATTCCTGTCCGATTCAACTTCTTGTCGACAGACTTTAGCCATTCCAAGGGTGTGAAGGGTATTCCGGTCAGATTGTGCGCAAAGACAGAGATGGTCTCCCCTGACGATACGAGCTCCACCTCGGGCAAAGAATCGGAGGTGTGCTACTGCAAGGTCAAGCTTTTCCGCGATCATGGTGCTGAGCGGAAACTGTCCAACGATGTCGCTCATGTCAAGAAGACCATCGAGAAACTCCGACAACAGATCGCCCAAGCCGAGATGGGTGCGGGCAACTACGGAAAGCGCAAGCGTAGCAATGGCTCCATTGCTCTCAAGGGTGCCGATCCGCGCCCGGCCAAGATCACCAAGCACAAACGGACATGGTCCATGGGCTCGCAGGACGGCCCTGGCAAGATGTCCTTGGAGGACGATCTCCATGCGAAGCTCGCGTTGATGCAAGACATGTTCACGTCAACACGACCGGTAAGCGTTCTGGGATTGCGGGGTGAGGAGCAGGACGACCCGGACTTGTTCCCTGTCATGCTCCCCGAGTCGCGAGAATTCCTCAAGCGGGAAAACAGCCGTGGATCCCGCTTCAGTATTGATGGTGCATCCCTGCATGCCGTCTCGCCCACCAGCAGTAGCATCTCAATAAACTCACCATGCCACCCGACCAACCTCCAGTCCAACATTTTCTATGACTCAGCGTACCATGGATCCTTGAGCACGTCTCGAGAGAACTCGCGCCCGTGCTCTGAAGTCCTGGGCGACAAGGCCACACTAAAGCATCCTGTCAAAGTACCGAAAGTGGCTTCAACTGACGGTGGCGCGCCAATGGGATTCATAGACGCGGTGGATATTGACCCAACTTACCGACCACCCGCGGAGCGTCCAGTTAAGCCAAGTAAGTAAAGTCTGTAACCCTCGAAAGATACTCGAACTGACCTAGCCCTAGTCGCGTGCTTCTACGTACGGTTCCCACGCAACGATCAGCGTTCGGATGACTATTACCGGGCCGTCTATCTGACTGAACGAACGGTTCGCGACTTGATGGAAAAGATTTCCATGAAGCAGCGCATCGACCCCCAGCGCATTGCGCGAGTCCTCCACGTCAAGCAAAACGGCCTAAAAATAATGGTGGACGATGATGTTGTTCGTGAGCTTCCAGACGGCCAAGACATGGTTGTCGAGATCTCCGAGGCGTCGTCAATCGAGACCGCAGCAGCTACGGGATCGGGAAACCTCAGTTCAGCCGTTGAGGTCAAATTGAGCTACTAATCCTGCCTCCCGGCATATCACGACATTCTTTTCGTCCTTTGTCACTCTTGAACTTCACTTCGTCTGATCCTTCTGTCTCAACCTTCAACAGAGGGCTTCTTTCTTTCGGTTCGAATTTCAGTCTTTTCAGTCTTTTCGGCGCCTGGTGCGTGGCATGAGGGACGCTTGGTCGCATACATCAAACAAGCGCATGCCTTATATTCGGAGTTTGGGGATTGCTTGCATCAATCTACGGGGCGTTCGTTGGATAGGGAATAATACACGAGTTCCCGAGCAATGATACCCTGTCGCCATATACGTGCTTATTTTGTTGCCTTTCTTTTCTTTTCTTTTTTTTTTTTTTTTTTTTTTTTTTATGTGTTATATCATTGACGATATCCTAAATTTTTCCTCGTCTGCACCGTCGTCTAGGTTTGGGGATACACGGCCCCGGCAATGTTTGATTTTTCTTGATGATATTAACTGGTTTGTAATTTCAAGAATCTGGTTGAGGTACGAGGAACACGATTAGATACCCTGTCCATTCTTGCCGGAATTACTTGGCTGCTGCAATTGCGTTTCTATTTATCTTATTCACACCGGCATACTGGGAAGGGTTCGCTATTTCCCCCCTCTTGACTCGCCTGAGTGTTTTCGTTTTCGGATGGGCTGTGTGCTGGTTCCTACTGTTATGATCCGAGCGCTACCAATTCTCTCACGCGCTTTCAGCGTCTGCGCAGCACAGAATGATCTTGGTTTATTTCGTGTGGGCTATGATGGGTGCAGACCTGCCTATACTTCAAGCCCATGAAGATGAACGGGTTTGAAGCTGCTATTCATGTTACATCAAAAGCACTAGGTTGGATATACGACAGACCCGTGCAATAGAGAGGTTATAATATCTGGAACAGATTGTCTTATCGTATTTCCGTAAGATACCCGAGCATAATCCGAGATTTGCCACCTACATCCCGGAATAGTACAAGTACACAGTAACTGAAGATCACCACATGGAACCTTGTACAAAAGTAGGGACGAAACTGTGAATCCTCAACGGACAAGAAAGAAAAGCACAGACCCCGAATGCAATCCAATTGGCGAGGAAAATGGATCCAAGCCAGCAATTACATCATAATCGATGCTGGGCTAGACAGTTACGTAGATAGACTACTTTTTTACAAACGACCGCGGCCTTTAACAAGAAAGGGAATAGTGGAAGTTGACCCATGGGACTGTGGACCACCAACTAACACCACAAACACCAGTGTGCCTCTTAGCGTTGGCCCATGTCGGCTACTTACCTGACTAACCTGGCCCTTTTCCTCCTCCGGCAACGCTCGGCGCACACTCGCGGAAAAACAACCACAGAATATTACTGGCGGATGTGAAATCCGCCCCGCTGACACCCCTTAACCCAGTATAGGCTCGGAATTGTCTTTACCGTTCTGTTTGATGGGTGTGATTTTTTTTTCCTCCAAGTGGGGAATATTTTTCCTCTTTTTTTTCCCCCTTCAGTGAAGTGGATGGTAAACTATGATCCCTACTAAACGGGCATCGTCATTATCTTCTCTAAGTCCCGTGGTTCTATTCTACTGAGCAGTTGTTTGGGGTTAGTTTTTGTGTATCTCTGCCGAGCATTTACCCGTCCCTATCTTTTTCTTTCTTCCGGTTTACCCTTTTCGGAAGGGGGATAGGACAGTGGTGTTTTTCGTTGTGTTGTTGAGCGGGGGGATGGGGATGGGGATTCGGTCACAGTAGTCGCACATGCTTACCTTTCGCGGCGTTACTTACTTTACCCATTTATCCACCCTCCCCCCTTCCCCCCCTTGCTACCAGGGCTACGTATGGCTATTGCCTCATGCGGAGATGAGTTCCCGATTGGGTATATGGTGCTTTTACTTACTTACTTACTTGCTTGCTTACTCCAGTTTTATCTATCCATTTATATATCCATCTAAACCATTGTTTGGATGTGGTTTTGGAGTAGGCTTACGACAATCGCAGCGTTTGAGGAAGTAATAATAGTTGGTTGCTGAACGTGTTGGTATGTATGTATGTATGTATTTTGACGCGCGCGTAACTCCGTATGAAATGTAAGGTTGTATGTATCGATCGGAATACATGGCTTTGTTTGCTGCGTAGCTTAACTTACTAGCTGGTCTAGCTAGCTGTGTAGTATGTAGTGTCTATAAGATGGGGCTGGCGCCATGGCGCTGCGGGTGGTTTGTGTGGCTGCATGTATAGTGCGGTATATTATTATGAAGTTGGAGGACGCTAACGATAAGACGGCATTTGGTTGTTTTGATGAATAGATACGTGTGTAATGTTAATGATATTTTATTCTTCTTTATGTTGATGTTATTGTTGTTGTTGTCTGCATGTCTGTGTATAGTATCAGGTGGTAGTAAGTAGTATTCTGCAAGGGTACCTGAACGGAAGCCACCAATGAAATTGCAGCGCGAAAGGTAAAATGGTATCGAGTTGATAAGTGATCACCGAGCTGTACAATGTGGTCAAAGTCAGGGGGTCAGGTAAGCGATGGTTCTAGACTCGATGTATGTCTCAGTAATGGTAAAAAATTAAAGTACTAGCCCTGTGTAAGTGCCTTCCTAAATTGAATTGAATTGAATTTCGGGGTTATCGGTAACAACTCATCAAATCTGAACTGTGATAATGGTTTAGGCTTATCTAGCCGCCGTTGGGCGATGACGTCTGTGGATGAAAGATTGGTGGTTATGGCTGATCCATTTCTCCCTTTGCAGAAACCTTGTCCTGAGATCTTCGACCAATCGTTTCAGTTGCATTTGGGGGGGCCTGCCGATCTCGTGGGAAGTGGGGAAAAAGGGAAGGAAAAAGAAAGAGAGGCTCCGTCTGGGCGACTCGGAGTTTGAGCCTTTACATTCGCCTCCACAGTTTCTAATTTAGTTGTGTCTATGGGATGGGTTCGGGATATGTTGTTTCCTAACGGGATTTGACTTGAAGTGGCGCCATTCTGACTTGTTAGAATCTAATCGAACGAGGAGGAACAGTGTGTTGACCTTTCTCTATCAGACACGATGATTAGCATTCTGCTTTTCCTCTCGTTATTTCAAGTGAAGGCCAGCAGAGAGGATGTACTCTCACGCAGTAGCCTAAAGTAGTTCGTGGTCGAATGCGGATGACAGGTCCAGACTCGGGCCGACTTCTCGCAGCCCAGTCCGCAATCGCAATCGGGGGGGGAGCAACGCAGATGACATCATGGCTCCCAACGCATCGGGATCGGGATCGGACAGGTACCTTGCAATGTCGTCATAGCTCAAGTGAGTTTCTTGGAAAGGAGCGGCTGGCCATCAGTCGGTTCTGGCTGGTTGGCGCCTCCACGCGGGTCGTGCCGATGTGGGGGTCTCTATCTGTCGCCGTATTTTTCGCTAGTTTTCACGCCAAAAACCGTTACTGAATTACGCTCGTTCATTCCGTACCAACCATACCGCAGTATTCCATACGGGAATCAACACCCGCAAAAGGTAATTTTTCAGGGATACGGGGGATTTTAGGGAGGCCTTGAATCGACATCACCTGGGGTTAACACGAACATTGTTGATTCTGAAGGCTGCAGTGTGGACTGTCAAGTATACTTAGCGGGTATGGCTAGCACGTGTATGTCAGATCAATATTCAGTACTAGGATTGCATGATCAACTCGCCGTTGAGATCTGGTATCATCCATATCGGACTCCTTGCCGGAGTAGTACAAGATCCTCCATCGGTATAATAGTTTCCAGATCTTAATACGAGCACACTCTGCACGGTGCAGGGACTGCCATCTAGTAGCCGTAGGTATGAGGGTCACTGCAGGATCGATTTGCTTTAAGGTTGCCTCTTAAAACATGCCTAGAGGGAACTCGGAGGGAGGGGGAGGGGGGGAACGGCTCGAGATCAAGAGCAGAATTTGCCACTGAGATTCGCCGTGCTCCAATTTTCTGTCTCTAGATGGCGGAGACTGATTGGTCGATCTGAGACATCGGTTTCTTGACGGCTTGCTGTGTGTCTTGTTTGGGGATAACCTCATGGTAGTAGCTCGTCGGGATCAAGATTGGCTGAACTAGCTTCTGGCTAGGAGGGGTGAAGGACTATAATCCTTAGCCCCTGTGTATAAGAACACTGCTTAATAGGCGTCAGTAATGGTGGGTTCACTGCTTCTCTTGTGGATGGAAGAATCTGAGTGTGGGACCTGGCGTAGTTCGTCTCCGGCTGCCGTTGACCTACCCCGTAAGCATCCATAGAGCAGCCTGCCTTGCATGGATCTTCTTTCTGACATCTAGAATCTTATATAGTTCTTCTAGAAAAACTGACTTCTATAATTATAACTGAACAATAAATCGGAAGTCCAACTCCGAGCCCTTAGCGTAGTGCATAACAGTGAAAACACGTGGATATCAGACCCCATAAACGCCACCATCTTATCAGACTGTGCCAGCCCTATGTGAATTGCTGTGCAGTCAATACCACCATACGCACCTCTTTCCCTCTCATATACTACCGTTTCTCGTCTTCATCTGCTGAACATCGGTGCCTACTACACAGCTCTTGCCGTATTGAAAATGTCGTCGTCGCACTTTCCAAAACGACACCATTCGCCCCGGCGACACAACCCTGTCAACACACACAACACGTTTGAATTCTTTCTATCTTTCTGCTGAAATCCTTTTCTTCTTCTTCTCCTTCTTCTCCTCCTTTCTTGCTCCCAACCTTCTTCCCAGTCTTCCATCCTTCGCCTCATCACGGTTCGCCGTCTCTCTCTTCATCGAAAGTGCCAACATACAAGCAACTCTTCGTTTATTTCTTTCCTCGTCTTACTGACACGAATTCGCTTTCACGTCGCGAGTTTAGTGGTTCTCCAGTTAAAAATGAAGATCTTTATTCTTCTCGCCATCTGGCTGCTCGCTAGCTTGGGCTACGCAACTAGTAGGTACTACACTCCAACTGTCTTCTTCATCTGCTAACGCTCTTAGATTTCGTCAACAATATGGCCGAAGTGTACCATGAGATTACTGATGTCCTTCGTGGCCGTAAGTGTTACGAAGATGGTAGCTGAGGGTCCAATATACTGACTAGGCTTGGACAATAATATAGCCCACCATGCGGCTCACTTTGCCAAACTGAACGGCGGTAAGCCTAAGCCCGATAAGCCTAAGGGTGTTGGCAAGACCCTGGATGATGGTAAGCTTGGAAGGACTCCTAATAAGAAACTTGAGTACTGATTCAGCTCTAGTTGTCACCTTGACTGTCTGTAAGACAGACGTGTCACTCGCCCCCACCGTTGAAACTTTTTCGTTGCCAACCATCGTGACCGCTACGACTTTGGCTCCAACTGTTGTCGTGACCGGTGTTGTGCCCACTGAGATTTCTATTGGACTGCCCACTGAGTTTGCTCCTGAAATTCAAACTGGAGTCCTTACTGGTGAATCTCATTCCACTGATACGACTGTTGTGCCGACCAATTCTGTGGTCTCAGGACTGTCCTCCTTCCTGACTGGAAGTCAAACTGTCTCTGAGATAACTGTCCCCACTAAAAACCACACCGTCAGCACCGAAATCAATGCATCGGCTGTCACCAGCACCTCTGCCCATACCACGTTCCCTACCGCAAATGCTGGGAACGACCATGAGGGCATGGCTTCGTCCGCAGTTGCTTTGTTGGTTGCTTTGATCTTTAGTCTCGTGCGTATCTGATGAATGTCCTTCCATACCTCCACATTTCTTTGAACTCGCCTAGCAAGGCTGTGTACGAAGATCCAGTGAGGTTGACCACGTTCTTCGGATCGAAAAGCGGGTTTTGTGTTTGCTTTCATTTTTCTTATGTTGTTTCGGGATGCAGCTCACAAGAGCATGCCATTTGAATTTCTCAACGGAATGGTGTAACTAATGACCGCGGCAAGAAACCGCTTGATCTAATTTAAAGCCTAACGGGCCTTAATACTTGTCTTAATTGCGCAGTAGATTATTGCTACCATGGGTATCTCCTAAAGACTAAACATACACCCATCCAGGCGAACTATGGAACATGTAGTGAAACTGTCCGCGGTTACAGCCCCACACTGGTAGAATGACAGGGTCATCATTCAACTGCTCCCTTCAAATAAATACCTGCAATCTCGTCAGTACTAGATAGCTTCCCGTAATGCAAAGCATCCTCACCATCAGAATAATTTACTGAAGCCGACCCCCTCCATCTCGAGTTGCTATACCAAGCAGACGACACCTCTCTATCTCCACCCCAAGCACAGCTACAGTACCCCAGAGCAACCATCCAGAAAGCCACACCCCCCACACACAGCAAAAACACAAACTTACGACTCAGATTCCCCAATCGCCTCCAACTCCTTCGCCAACGCACAGATCCTACACCCATCACCAATCCTATCCCTCAACAACCGCGCAGTCGTCACCTTAGGTCCGACCGTGCGGGATGCACTCATCGACACTTCATCCAGTGTTTGTCCGGGCGCAGGCGAGAACGGTCGCGGAGTCTGCACCGCAGATCGAGTGTATGGCGTGCTTGTGGACGAGGCATTCTCCGATGCGTGGATGTGCGAGAGGTGGAAGATGTGGCCGCAGGCGAAACCGACGAGGATTTCTTTTTCTGTATTTCCTGAATAAGTGGGTGGTTTGTTAGTTGGGGTGTAGGGGGAGGTTTCTTACCATTGGCGCGGAACGGGCGATGACAGCCTGCGCATCTCCCTGCAGGGGAGGCAGTGGATGAAGATGTGGCAGTGAAAGAGGTCTTTTCTGTGTCGGCGTCGCTTTTGAGTGCTTTGCTGATATTGGTGGTGGTGTTGGTGTCCTTCTCCGTCGCTTCGGTGGCAGTGGCAGTCGTGGTGGTGGGAGTGCCAGGGATGGATCTTTCCTCTTCAACAATGTTGAATTTGATGCCGCGGCGTTGGCCGCGGCGGAGCGTGTCCATGCCCACTGCTACTTCACTTTGGAGAACTTTGGCGGCTCCTTGGCTTATGCTGGCCTGAAGGTCGTGTTCGCGGATCATGCGTGTGAGACCCTCTCGGAGGCCTTCGATTTCCAGGCCACTTGGGATCCTCCGCACGAGTTTGATCGGGTCGATGGAGGTTCCGGCTTCGACAAGGAGGCCGTGGATGAAACGCGGCTTGTCCATGGAGTAGTCGAGGAGGTCTTCCCAGAGGTCGGGCTCGTTTTGGGACTTGGCGAATTGGATGGCTTGCGAGACATCCTTGAGGTCGGAGAGGATCAAGTTGAGGGCACGTTTGGTTTGCCCTGTCTTCGAGAGGAGGTAGATTAGCTCGGGGGTGAAGTGTCGTCCTTCGCAGATGCTGACGGCCATGTCGAAGGAGTAGGAGGTGCTGGTTTGGAGGAATTCCATCAGCAGGGGCCGGTCATAGTCTGCAAAGAGTTCTACGGCTAGGTCGGCGAAGTTGTCGACTAATGCTTTGCCTTCGTCGGCGGCGAGCTTGCTGGCTGCGTCTCGAATGTGAGCGAAATGGCCGCGGCGAGGTTTTGCGGCGCCGTGAGGCAGTGATTCGCCACGCCAGAGGGCCCGCATGTAGATGTAGAGGTATAGTAGTTTGTTTGCGGCTTGGAGTTGATCGACCACGATTTCAGGCCGGACTATGCCTGTATACGCTTCGCTGACTAGGAGTCTGATGGGCTCTGCGGTGAGCTCTTCGAGTTCCGAGACTGGCGCTGATTTCAGCTGTTCCTTGGACACGCGGATGAGAATAAATGCAGGAATATCATCGGTGAGGGTGTCGAGCAGTCGGTGGTCCTTGATCAGGGCCATCGCTGTGTCCGCGTCTTGGAGGCGAATATAGCAGTGCAGTGCTTTGCCATAGTGGCCTCCTGCGAGGTACAGTTTGGCAAGACACCTTGTCAAGACTCGCCAGTCCTCTGTCTCCGGGATTACCGAGTCATATCTCAGTTGCTCCTCAATTTCTGTGGCGACATTATTGACGTCAAAGAGGTCGAAAGGCCAGGAGTCTAGGAGATCGCTGAACCTTGACCTATTGTGCTCGACATAGTGCCCCAGGATGGTCTCGTAGATGTTTGCAGGGAGACTGGGACGCATGTTGACAGGCATGACGGACGAGATTTCGTCCAGCTTATCGTGCTTAATGAAGGTCCAAGCCCAATGCTCCCACCTGGCTGCGGTATCGATTGCTTTCACGCAAACTTCAGCGGCCTCTTCCCACTTGTTCTCATCAACAAGTTGTTCGATCCAGAGTTCGCCAATGCGGCGCTTTTCCTGCTCGACAGCGGGAGTAGAAGCAATGTTCCGGCCAGTAGTTGTGATTGAAGACCTATCGTCAATGAAGGACTCACCAACGCTACTGCTCTGAGATCTTGATGGCGTCTCTGGGATTTGGTCGTTCACGTCAGTCGTCGACCCCGCCGCTTCAGGATGCTCCTGGAGAAGCATCCAAGCTTCTTCATATCTCTCATGCGCATCTAGCCAGGCCAGGCGATCAGACAGATCTCTTTTCAGGGCAGCAACACAGTCGTACGGGCTGTGGACGAATATCCTAGGACCTACGCTCCCTGCAATGTCCTGGATTTCTTTGGAAAGGGGTTCCTCATAGGAAAACCTTCGGGAAGCGAAAGTGCTCGGCGCCCGGCTGGAGCCCTTGTCACTGCTCGTTGTACTGCGAATACTAGCGGCGGAGCTGAATAACCGCGCCGGGTAGAGAGTTGCATCCCAAAGACCGTTCCCCAAAGCTTCTAGCGCACCGCGTTGCGAAACAGGAGCGCTAGATTTCCAAGGAGGCAGGACGCACATGTGATAGTCGGAGGAAGTGAGGGTCTCGTAGCGACTTGTTGAAAGGGTATCAGCGCTAAGCTCCTCCTTTGTTTCGATATCGATAATCCGCAGTTCAGGCTCTAAGCCCCTTGGCCGCCGGCGCGTTCCCGGACGGCGACCTCCCAGCTTGGTCCGCTCTTCCGAGACGTCTTCTTCCGCCTCAATATACGCAAGGACAGCCAGCAAACTAGGGGTATATAGCGAGATGCCAGATATAACGCAGTCGGTCCGTAAGATTGTAGAAACCTCAACGGATCCGATCTTCAGGTCCCTGTTGTTCTTGCTGGGTCTATCCGGATATACGTCAATGACCCAAACCGTGCCTCCCCAGCCAACTACTAATTTCTCCACCTTCTCCTTGACAATCGTCGACTGGACCGTAGACGACTCTCCTTGACTGTTTGGACCGTTGTCACTATTCAATTGTTTCTCGTCCACCCACTCAGCACGAGCCTTCCAGACACCCGCCATCTCTTCCCAGCCGGGACGGTTGGGCCGGTCAATATGGCTGATCCGCTTCCAGGCCAGCTCAGAATCTGAAGAATCGAGGTACAAGTTGGACCGCATGATTTTGATGCCCTCTTCGTTGACCCAGACGACATACTTCCCAGATAAGGACCACTTGATCGTACTGATGGCGCCCTCCCCACTGTGAAGGATAGTGTCCTTGCCGGTGTTGGCTCCCAGCCCCAAAGATCCGAGCCAACTCGAAGCCGTAGCCGCAGCACCTCCCATGGTTGTAGAATTCGTGCTCACACCCACTCTTCCGCCCACCGTAAGTATCAGGTCGCCCGCTCGCCCTCCGGACAAGAACGCCCTGTCACTTTTGTACTCAGGTGAGAGCGCGACAGCCTGCACGGGTCGGCCAAAATTGCGCAAGAGAACGTCTTTGGAGTCCACTAATGATGAGACACAGATGTTTCCGTCCATAGAAGATGTAGCAATGTATATCGAATTGGAAGGCGTGACAGGTAGGCTTTGCTGGTGAGCTGGCCGATGCCGGCCGCGGAGGCTAGCTGTGCCGGACGACGGCCGCGCGGAATATTCCTGGTCTTCAGGAACTCTGCTGAAGTACTCTTGCCTGAGACTGGGCAACGGAGGAGGGAAAGGGGAGATTGAGATGGAGGTGATACTGGCGGAGTGCGCATGGTAGACGCGAAGAGAGCGCATTTGAGGGACGGATAGTACATGCTGGATGGCGTCAGTTCTCGAATCATTCGAAGCGGCATCAGCGCTACTTACAATATTTCCATTATGCGTTCCAATTACCTAGATACTGTCTCAGCATCATGCGCCTTCTAGGAAATGCCTGAATACCATACCATCTTGTCCCCAGCCGCGAGAAAGGAGCTTGTTGCATCTCCGTTGCGATACACCGCCCCAAGGTGCTTCGTCAAGTATGCATACTTGAGTCGGGGCTCCTCGTCCTCTTCATCAGTCTCCTCCTCCGTTCCGGCCTCATCGTGTTCTTTGTCGATATCATCGCCTTCACTCTGGGTCCCATTGTGGCTGTCTTCCTCGTCATAGGCCCGGTCGGACCGCCCGCTGTCCGGGCATGTACTGTCGCCCACATTGTTGGGATCGGAGTCGTGGCGGTCCTGAGGGACACTCTCGTTTGCCTGCGTCGCGCCAGGCGCGTCCATGGCGAGAGCAGGAGCTAGGATCAAAAGTATGAGATATTGGTGCAGACAATGGGCAGCTTCATGGCACCCATCGGCCGAGCAGGAGCACAGCTAGACGGAGCTGGGGTAGATAACCAACAGTTACTTACTGCCGGCGGTCGGGCGGCTTCATTGAAGGTCGTCACCGCATCCAGCTAGGGCCCTGCTGACTCATCCATGCCCCATCCCCGGCTTTCTTTTCTGCAAGACTCGTCGAATAAAGCTTCGAATGATTTCTCCGGATCTGAACGTGCCTCGTTATGGCATCGGTTTCTCTTGGTAATATCCTACGGCTGAAATTGGCGCTTGGCTGAGCTTCTTTCCCCTTGGCTTCCTATACAGCCCGTGTGAGATCATGTTTGCAAGACCACGTCTCTGCACTCTTTCGTCACGGCCTTCGGCTGTCAAGTTTCTCAGACAGCCCCGAAGCCAATATCTTCACGCTACCCCTCCATTGAGCTATCCCCGGCGGAAAGACTTCTTCTCTTCCAATGCATATCTATATCAGAAGCAAATGAAAAACGGCGACACGACCGATGAGGCGGTTCTAGAATCCCAGAAACAAAGGAGAAGAAGCAATAGGTCGCCGGCCGCATCAACGTCACTCCGGAGAGTTGCAGTGGAGGCACAACGGTCGAAGGATGGAATGTTATCCAAAGCCCAGCTCAGGGAGCAGGGGCTCTATCAGCCCAAGGTGCCAATGCCCAAGAGCCGCGACCGTCCTTGAACCATTGCTAATCTATCAATGAGAAGACTGTAACAGCCTATGCCGTAGCTGAACAATTCAACATTCGCAAAGTCAGAGACATCTTACAGGAGCGAGGCTACGAGCCGGACCCCTACGAGACGGGTCTGTATCCACAAGTTGTCCACATTGAGGTTCCTCTAGACTCAATACGCCGCCAGAGCAATCCGAATACCTTAGATCTGTCACCAAGCGAAGTGGGGGATGTGTTTGTCTTTCCCTCGGGAACCGTGGTTGCATGGGCCCTACCTGAAGGATTTACTTCCTTTTTGGCAACCAGGACATTATTACCTGCAGCTGAGGGGGCACATCTTGATGACCTGGAAACAGAGGATCTTGAGTATGTTGAAGATTCTCAACGAGAGAATAGCAGCATCAAGGGCGACACCATCATCCTGGGGACCAAGCCAGGTAATGACGGGCCTAATTCCCACTTACCCACTCGGCAGTCTGTAGATACAGTCCTTACAAAGGTGGCATTCTCGTCAGGGCTGGCTCGCAGTACGAAATTGGCTGTATTGGAATCACTCCTAGCCAATTACTTTGAATCTACTCGGCCTATTCCCACGCTCCTATCCAAGGGCTCACGTCTCCCATTCACTCGGGACTTCATACTTCGCAAAACGGGCCAGCTGCTGAGCGTACGTGCGCAGCTGAACTTATATTCGGAGCTCACGGACTCTCTGCCAGATATCTTCTGGGACAGTCGGCATGAACTGGGATTAGAAGGGTACTATGAACAGGTAGGACGAGCGCTCGATGTGGGGATCCGCATCAAGCTTCTGAACGAGAAGATGGATTATGCACAGGAGATCGCAAGTGTACTGCGGGAAAGGCTGAGCGAAACGCATGGACTCCGACTCGAGTGGATTATCATCTTACTCATTGCTGTCGAGGTAGGATTTGAGGTCCTTCGGCTGTGGAAGGAGCGCGTCCACGAACAAGAGGCGAAAAAGGAACAGGCTACTGAGCGCTGATTCTCGACTGTAACCACCATCTCTACTCATGTACATACTCATATCATGGAGTTCTTCGAATATGATACCCAGGCGTTGTTCTGTTCCGATATGCATGCACTACGTATTGAGTCACGATAAGGGAAGCTTCAAGTCAATCCGGGGAGATCGACGATAAGGTGCTTATCGGACCAGTCACATCACATGCCGCTGACTCAGGTACGGGGGCCAAGTCATGGGATGGATGCACGTGCTGCTGCTGTTGGGACTCAAACATTCGCCTCTTTCCTCTCTTCCCCCTTTGTCTTCCACTGCTCTGTCAATTGATGCTTCGTTGAGAGTTGCATATTCATCTTTACTTTGTATTGTCTGCTGTATTTTCTTGCTGAGCATCAGCAACGGACCTCACAACCCTCCATGCTTGATACCGGTAGCACTAGTGCGGTCGGGTCCACCGCCATCTCCATGAGGGACCGACTGCTTCAGAGTATGCCAGGGCCTCAACAGGTCTTGAAAGCTATAACTGGATCATTGGGTGTCTCGTCGCTTTCGGTTTCAGATTATAGTTCGTCCGAAGCAACCTTCCGGCAATGTCCTTCCTCCGAAGTGAGCTGCAAGGCTCAGTACCATGGCCAGGATACCTGCTGCTTCAACTACCCCGGCGGACAGATGCTCCAGACGCAATTCTGGGATGCTGATCCAGCCATTGGGCCAGCAGATTCCTGGACTATCCATGGACTCTGGTGGGTTTAATCCTTGTCCCTCTTTACCAGACTTATACCTGTCACGTATTATATATTATCGCCGTCCGGTACTGACATATGTTCCCCGCTACATAGGCCCGACCATTGCAACGGCGGCTTCGATCAGTACTGTGACTCCGGGAGACGGTACAGCAATATCTCGTTGATCCTGGTTGATTCTGGTCGGGGGGATCTACTAGACTATATGAGCGACTTCTGGAAGGACTTCAGGGGCGATGATGCGAATCTCTGGGAGCATGAGTGGAACAAGCACGGCACTTGTGTCAGCACGCTAGAGACTCACTGCTACACCGACTACTACCCACAGCAAGAGGTTGTGGACTACTTCGACCGGACAGTCGAAGTCTTCAGAACCCTGCCTACCTACGAGGTCTGTCTCCCTGCACTCATTGTAGAAGAAGAAAGGAAACTAAACACATCACTCTGCAGACACTCGCCAAAGCCGGCATTACCCCCTCCTACACGCAAACCTACACTCGCGATGAGATTGTCAATGCCCTCTCCAAGGCTCATGGTGCCGAGGTGACAGTCCGGTGTCGACACCAGGCTATCAACGAAGTCTGGTACTACTTCAACATCGCCGGGCCACTGCAGACGGGCAAATTCGTCCCATCTGACCCAGGTCAGCAAACCAACCACCTCACAAGTTGCCGAAACTAATGACTACAACAGATGGCCAAACATCCAACTGCCCCCGCAGCGGCATCCACTACATTCCCAAGACTCCCCGAAACGGTCACGAGCCAACCAAGACATCCCGCGGACCTGCTGAGCCGACCGCACCGAGCGCACCCTTTTCAGGAAAAGGGAACCTAATGATCTCAACTAACGGTCAGAAGCGAGGCTGCATCATTAGCCACGGCGCGTGGTTCACCTCGGGAACCTGTGCGACTTTCACGGCCACTAAGGCGTCTGGTATGTGTTCTCCGTTGCTGCTTTCCTATTCAGGCGGGCAGTCAGTAACTGACGGCCCTTCTTGCACCGCAGATGACACAGTCACCCTAAAATCCAGCAAGGGGGACTGCGGGTTCTCGCACGATGTCTTCACCTGCGGCGGATTCATCCGGTCCCCGACTCAATTTACTGTAAGCATCTCACCCCGCCCTTTCTTCTTAAATCCACGTGCACCCCACCAAGACACCTGATGTATATTTGTCTAATCCCTTCCAGGTCGAAGACGGCATGCTCGCCTACAACGACAACACAACCTTCTTCGCAGACAAGGCGCCCAAAGGGCCAACGAAGAGCAAAGTCTTCGCAACTCAAGACGACCATCCTCTCGAGCTATCCATCACATGGAGAGAGGCTTGATCCCAATTTCTTTCGCTTTCTCTCCTCAGTCATTTTACCATATACAGCATCTAAACGCATATAGAATCATACATGTCTCCATATATTTCTGCATTTATACAATACTATTTACATAGTCGAATTTACTTCACGACACCACACTTCCTATGCATTGAATGGAATAAACCCACAGAACTATAGAAAAATTAGAGATCCATTCAAAGCATCATTGACATTCATGGGAGTAGTCAGTTCTATCATAAAGCTAAAGTACAGGCGAGGGTGCGAGCCATGCGAACCACCAAGGCAAGGTTGATAATAGCAGGGTAGGAGGTGATTAAGTAAATTCGTCACGAAAGGCAGATCAACCAAACCAAACGAGAGTACCAAAAATGACTTTTTTGCAATGCCAGCCAGCAGAAGACGAAAGATGCAATAGTAGCATCGGTAGAAAGAAGACAGAAGTTTTTACAGATCAACCCGTTCGTCCGTCCGTTCGTTTGGTACAAAAATCACGATCCATCAGCAGTTAAGCAGTTAAGCAAATCCAAATGACATTAAGGAAATAAAAAAGCAAATTCAGATTCAATAGCATAGCATAACATCATGAAAGGGGCATTAAAGAGACAAAGAAAAGACGTTACAAACATTCATAAGATCAATCAACACGTAAAGAGGCAAAAAAGAACGGACGACCTGTAAAAACTCCATAATTTGGCTGGCCGAAAACACAAAGAAAAAGTCATTTTCTTGCAAAATAAAACTCCCAAGATATTGCAGATAAGTCCCGGGGGTTCAGAATGGTTGTTGGTGGTCGTACATGGTGTTGTTGCGCGAGAAACAAAAAACAAAGAAATCAGATGCAGTAAGTAATATGCATTTGCGCCAAGGGGGAAGGAAAGCAGAAGTTCATATGCCCGAAAACAAGATTTCTTTTTTGAAACATTGTTCTTGTTGTTGTCACAGTTTATCATCAGTTTGCAGTGGATAAAATTGGTCGTTGAAATGAGTTGGTCGTAGAAGTGAAGTAAATGAGGGAAATTGTACATGGTTCTCGTGTCGTAGTATGAAAAAAAAAGGCATAAAAATCATTTCGCGTCTTATATGCATGGGTTCCAAATCATTTGCGGTCCTAAATCGTTAAAAGTCTTGCACATTAGGCTGTAGAGCCTGAGTCGTTGCATCGTTGCCGGGCGTTTGATGTTTTTCGTTTTTCCATGTCATCTTTCTTGTCGATCGTTATGTAGGTTCTTGTTCCGTTATGGTCGTTTCTCTTTAGTCCATGAAGAATTCTTTAGTCATAACATCCGAGGCTTGTTCGTCCACTTGAAATTGGAAGAAGAAGTCGTCGGCCATGACGGGGCCCGAGGAGAAGGGCTTGTTGGGGAACAGTTCCAGACCACCTTCAAAGGACGTCGTGTTCACATAGTCTGGGAACGGGGCCATGTCGGGATCAGCCAGGTCTCCGAATTCGGGCTTTCCAAAACCAGAGGTCGAATCCTGGCTAATAAAAATGTCGAGATCAGAGCCGTTAGATGATTCGGACAGGGTGGGAGCGGCATGGGGTGAAGATAGAGAATGGCTAGCAGCGCCGGAAGCATCTGTATACGGGCATGTCTCCGGATCAGACATGTAAGGCAAGCTGGAGTCTGTGACGAGGCTCTCGAGGTGCTGCTTTGATGGTGAGGAAGGAAGCATTTCATCTTCTGAGCTGGGGGTGATCGATCGCTCGTCCCGAGAAGGCGATGGCTTGATTCCCACGCTGTAACCGGGAGATGCAGGAGGCGTGAATGTGAAAACCTCTGGTGGCAAGGAGTAATTGGGGTTGTTGAACACTGGCATCTCTTCCGCCGGGCTAGAACCATGCAGGCTCATGTTTTCGAAGACTTCGGAAGGAGGCGTGTTGCGTGAGGACTCGGATGTGGACGAGTCGAAAGATGACTTCTCTGCAATCCTCTGACGCGTTCTCGATGCTTTGTCCTGTCTCTCATCCATCTCTGGTCGGTGCTTCTTCGGACGACCCCGTTTCGTTGTCTTGCGCACAATGCCCTTGTAGCCGCCAATGCACATACCCCGCTGTCTGTGTCGAGTCAAGGCGTCGTGTCTCGCAAATACATTTCCACAGAGGCACTCGTAAGGCTTGTCGCCGGTATGGATCTTAGCATGGCGCTTAAGGTCATGACCGCGAACAAAGCATTTGTTGCAATGATCGCACTTGTACTGGCGGTCGCCCAGGTGAGTCTGGACATGTGACTTGATATTCTCCTTTCTTCCAAAGCGGCGCTCGCAGCCGGGGTGCAGGCATACCCATTTCCCGTCCTCCGGGTCAGGCCCATGAATGTACGAAGCAATCTCGTCAATGGTGACACCCGTTTCTTTGATTGATGCTTGCACGCGAGCGTCGAGGTTCAGGTTATCGATAGACGCAACGCGCGGAGAAAGCTTTGGCTTGGTCGATGAGCTAGGTGTTGCACTGGGCGTCTTTCTGTGATGCGGACGGCTGGGAGTGGCGGGATAGATAGGGATTTTGGGGGTCTTTGCACCTCCATCTTCGGGGCAAGGCATAGCCGCAAGCTCGGGAGATGACATGAAGGATGATGATGCCGACGACGACGATGCATACTGGCTTTGTGACAGACTTTCCGATTTAGGAACCTCAAAGCTAGAACCCTGCTCATAGTTAAAAGTATCAAAGTTATCCACTTCAAATGATGCTGTGTTCGGGGGGGTAGAAACATCAAACTTCTGCTGCGTGAAAGTAGTTCCAGCCACGCCTTGGAGAGACTTTGCTCGCTGCATGTACGACGACTGGGCTGATCCGGGCATCGCGCTACCCTGATCTTTGGTGGATCCTGACTGGATGTCCCCACCGTACTGAGCTAGGCCCACGGTTTGCTTGAATGGTGTTGTTGCTGGTGTAATCGGGGCATACTCTACACGACAGATTAGCAAGTTGTGCATAGTAAAGAGCCGACAGAGCCATAAACGTACGTGTATTGCCGTGCTTAGGCGTATGCGGGTGCTGAGACGGAGTAGCATCCGACTGCACCGATAACTTCCTTACATCAGCGTGAGGGGGGAAAGTTGGCTGGTAAAAGTCCCAAAGTCCCGTCTCGAAAAATTGACCTTCCGTTCCAGACCCGCACGGAACCTTAGTGCTGTGCATCTGTTGTTGTTGCATCAGGTCGAACTGCATGTTCATGTGCGGAACGTCCTTTGCGAAGGGCGCATTCAGGTAGGCCATATTTGGTTGACTGTCCTGGCCATTGTGACTTTGAAGGTTTTGCACCTCTTCCGGGGTGAAACAGTCGGGGATCACGGGCATGGGGGCTGATTGCTGGGGAAACGACGGCTGCGCTACACACAGGTATCGTTGGTGTTGGCTGTCCCCGAGCATATTCGAATGGTGCTGCTGCGGTACTGTAGAGTTAGTAGTATGATTTGTACCATCTTGCATGGATTGCGATCGCTGGACGCGCAAAGCTCTGTTGTCAAAACTCTGTCCTCGACGATGGGCATGATAACGATGCATCGCTTGCGCCGGAAGGCTGGGGGCTTTCACGGCATCAAGAGCGGACAGCGTCGAGATCTGCCGCCTGTGTTGTCGATGTCGCTCATGAAGGTTGCTGTGCGCCGTGGACAGCATGGTGGGCGAAAAGGGACTCTTTCTTCGAGCGCTTATCGCAAGGTGCTTGACCGACGGATTGACAGACCTTGGTGTTTGGTCGGATCTGGAGGATTTAAATGCGTAAGCTTTCTGCACCGTGTTACTGTGCTAGAATTCACATCCAGCGCCGAGAGTTACCAACCTCACGCAATACTAGCCACACGGCTGGGCCGACAAGATGGTAATGAACCGCCCTGCACTGGTGTCAGTCGGTGGTCTCCTCAATTAGAACACTCACGCTAGGAAGAAAAAAAGGTTAAAGAAAACGCAGAAGAAAGAGCAAAAGCAAGCGCAACAGTCAAGGAATTAACGCAGCCTCTGCACTAGATCTATGCAAAGGAAGATTTCTTGCGACAGCTATCTAAAATGCGCTGGAAAGTCGCAGATTGAAGACGCAATCGAAGCTTTTATAAGAAGCTTCCCTGCGCGCGAATTGGTGGAACAGCTGAGCACCTCTCCTTCGATAAAGGTGGGAAGATGGAGAGCAAGAACCAAGGAAGTCTTTTAAGGTATTTAGAGGTGGGAACCAGGGAAAGGTGGATGGAGATGATGAAGCTATCCCGATCTATCGCCCACGGTTCAGATCAACAATGGTGTCGTTGGCCTAGCAACGCGGTCGGCTGAGGCGTCAGGGAAACCAGCGCCCCTTGGCATGGAGCCCGGCGATTTGGCCAGCGCAGTGGATCGCGCCCTGGTTCCAGCACGGAGCATTAGCAGCCCGCCGCAGCAACCAGTGGTCCGAACACAATTAAAGCTTACGATCCGGCAGGTTTAGTTGCAACCTGCAAGGAGGTTGCTTCTCGCCTGGCTTCTCCCAGCGGTCCAGACAACCACCCTATCTCCATTATCGATCTATCCACATTGCCTCTTATAACTGACGGGAGGAGGCGACCTGTGGCCTGTGAGGGTTTGAAACATTATTTCACCCTTCCTCTGCAATAGCCGATTTAATAATTGACGCCTATCCCGCATGCTATTCAATCAATAATTAGCAACAGCGAGCCGAGGGATGAGAGGGCGGCAAATGATGACGATGACGAAGTTGACGTCGATGCTGAGAGGCTGGATTGACCACTTCGTCTAGTTGGTATTAGGCCTAGTCGTACTTTCTGCCTGGCTTTTCCGGGCCGTGTCTATGCCTGGCGATGCAGGCACCAAACTGACGTATCCAAGAAACCGTTAAAGTCAGCAAGTCCCGTGACCTCAGCCGCAGTCCATCACATGACTGAGGACCCGGAGGGCTGATTATCCGAGTGTCCACCCGCACTACGCCTGACTCGGTAATCTGGACACCACGTGACCGCACAACCGATTTTAACGAAGCCCACCACCACCGAGGATATTTTCCTACCACGATCGCCGAAGGTTTAGGAAGACAAGTCTTGTCGAGGTGAGTTGATGACCCTATACATTTACGATGTGACAAGGAAAAGGATTCAATATTATTTGGAACATCTCATCTTCATTTCCTTCCACTTATCCCAGAAAATATCTCATGCGCACACTTTGGCGCGCGAGATACCAAAATTCCGGGGGAGTAATATGTGAACAAGAAACGAAGATGAGAGCTGCGACGCAGATAATATTGAACTTTATCCTTGCTCACGCACCAGTATCAAGTAAAACAATAAACTAACATCCTTTTTTCAATCCAGACCTTCATCAAGATGCAGATCTTCGTCAAGACCCTTACGGGTAAGACTATCACCCTCGAGGTGGAGTCCTCGGACACCATTGACAATGTCAAGTCCAAGATCCAGGGTAAGCATACACACACACATACCTACAATCACCGGTATTTCTATCAGGCAACATTTACTAATGATTATTTACAGACAAGGAGGGTATCCCCCCGGACCAGCAGCGTCTGATCTTCGCTGGTAAGCAGCTCGAGGACGGCCGTACTCTTTCGGACTACAACATCCAGAAGGAGTCCACCCTCCACCTGGTGCTCCGCCTGCGTGGTGGTGGTAAGAAGCGCAAGAAGAAGGTCTACACCACCCCCAAGAAGATCAAGCACAAGCACAAGAAGACCAAGCTTGCCGTCCTCAAGTACTACAAGGTCGACGGTGATGGCAAGATTGAGCGTCTTCGCCGCGAGTGCCCCTCCCCCGAGGTATGTTTAATTCCGCCTTTGGTTGATCCCTGCAGTTGGCGCAGTTTACTGACTTCGTCTCTTAGTGCGGTGCTGGTATCTTCATGGCCGCTATGCACAACCGCCAGTACTGCGGAAAGTGCCACCTCACCTACGTCTTCGACGAGTCCAAATAAGTGGACTTTGCCGATCGTTCCGCCATGTCTTCTTTCCGGTAGCGCCTAGCAATGTCGGTCGTGAATGTGTGGTGGATGAGGTTGGGACGTGTGCGCTTTGATCGTCCCATAGTGACCAAGCAATGAGAAACGAAAAAAATTCGAAACCGCTCTCAATTCAAGCTACCTAATTCGTAGACAAAGCATATGTAAATGAGCATATGTAAATGAGACAAGCCTGCTCAACTAAACTGATACAAGGGGGTACCCATCGGATCTACTGAAATCCATTCCTCAAGTTGTCGTATTTGCTCTCGGGGTAGGAGAGCACGTTCTGCGACTGGTCAAGGGCTGACACGCCTCCAATCCCTTCCACAAAGGTTCCAATCAGGCTGCCGTCAGCTTTGTTGGCGGTTTTTCCTCCCTTGTCGCCGCTGGTTTCCCACCACATGCCACCGCCGAGCTGAAGCTTGGTAATATAATCCAGTTTCATCTCGCCCACGGCCACAGTGTCGTAGGAGACCATGGTGCGTGCCGTGGGATCATAGCTCCAGGATGCACCCAGGTTGGCATCGACATGTTCGGTGGCTCCTGTTCTTGGGAGCGCTTTGTAGTCCCAGACACCTTGTTCCCAGCTTCCCTCTCCCACCCCCGAGAATGCGGTCCCGGGTCCATCAGTGTTGGTAAAGGCACGCCCATACAGCGGCGTTCCCAGGATAATCTTGGACGAGGGGACCCCACCATTCTGGATGTAGTAGTTCACTGCCTCATTGGTTGAGAATGGCGTCGATGCTGGCTTGTCAGCGGAGGGATACAGGTTGGCTTGATGGCCAGCAACAGTGTCCCAACTTCCGGCATAGTCGTAGGCCATCAAATTGTAGAAGTCCAGATATGGCGTCATCTGAGACAGCTTGAGCTTGGTGTAATTAGCAGGACCTGCATGAGATCAGCATTCATTGGGTCTGACTTGGTCTCGCCCTGGCTAAAACAAATAATATCATCCACTTACCAGCTGGACAAGCGATGGTGAGAAGGAACTTCCTGCTCGCACCAGCAGTTGCATCCAGAGTCTAGACAAAATTAGTGCATGCGTGCGCGCATTACTTACGATCGGGATGGAAAACTTACCTCTCGACACTTCTGAAGCAGAAGGACCATATTTTGCGCTTCTGTATCATCTGTAGGTAGTCGTCTTAGTATCCACCTCTAACTGGTCACTCATCTTCCCCAACATCCCAGAAACTAACCTTTGGGATACTCCCAATCAATGTCGATACCTGCAGGCCCAGCATTAGCGAATCAAGTGCCACGCATTGTCATAAACAAGTCACATACCATCGAATCCAAGATCAGTGACCAATTTAGTTGCAGTCTCAGCAAACTTAGTGCGGCCAGCATCAGTGCTAGCGGCCTGAGCGAAATTGGGAGAGTAGGTCCAACCGCCAATGGAGAGCAAGACCTTCAACTTCCTATTTTGCTGCTTGAGCAAGAACAACTGCTTGACACAGCCGTAGACATTGGTACCGACGTCATTCCAAGAGTCTGTGGGGTAGTGCTTCTCAATGTCCGACCAGGTGTCGGACAGATAACTGTGGCGAGAAGTCAGTGCGGCTGATCAGGTGGCAAGGGGGTGATCAGCCATGTGCTGCAGAAGAGTGGAGAGCTTACACTTCACCAGTGTCCGGGCGAACGTTAGCAAATGCGTATAGGACATGAGTCAGTTTGTCGGCCGGCATGTCCTGAGGATTGTAGTTGCGGCCATAGATCGCCTAGCATTGGCATTAGAACTACTTTACAATACGAATGGACTGCCTCTCGTGCTGGGCTGTGAATACGGCAGCCAAAATTGAGTATATGCTCACCCAATTGACGAAGTAGGCCACGGACTTCAGACCAGTAGACATGGCTGGGATGGTAGCGTTCGTGTCGGTAGTAGGTGCAGGATTGGGCTGGAGCGGAAGCACAGCTGCGTCATTCCAAAAGTACCGAGCAGAGAGGATGAGAGCAAGGATGAGAAGTACGAGACAGTGAATCAATCGCGAGAAAGCCATGATCGGCAATAGTAATCAAAAGCACTTACCAGCATGCAAGAGGCTGGTAAGCAGAACCCGGAAGAGTCAGTCGGAAGGAACGAACGCTGCAGCAGGGGGGAAGAAGTGGAATGATTGTACCTGCCTTAGGTCACCTCTCCTGTATGGTACTATATAAATAACAGCAATTCGGATTCCTGATTGGCTCAGAGTCAATAGCGGCGGTGCAACTGTGGCTGCAGGAGACAGGTGGTCTGCGCTTATGTGATCATCAAAATGTGGCTGACTGGGATTTCAGGAAGCTGATGGGCATCTACTACTCCAGGAGTTCAGTGGAAGGTTTCCAATTTATACCTCTATTCGGTAGATAGAACACCGTTATATTCGGCTTGTGAAAGCTCTTTGAAACACAAATTGTGCCGTCGGTGGCGTCGGTCATTTCTTGTCTGACCATGCCATGCTCTAAATTGTAAACATAGTCTTCCTGGCAGTATAGGCCTCCATGGTTACGACACTATATCGTGTGCTTCCTTGATAGTTAAACTCTCGGGGAGGATAGTTGAGGCTAGACTGGATAGAACAGGGCGGGGATGCTTAAAATTCCTCAAGTGATCTGTGCCTGGGTATCTGTCACGAGAACAAAGAGATCGGCTATCGGGGAGGGATCCTGGTTCGACAATCCAATCCCCAGGCTTGCATTGATCGTCCCCGGTGCATCTCAGTTCAGATGACATTTCGAAGGGTAATTTACAAGCGCATGATGTATCTCGGGGCAGTTCACGACTCCGGAGATATCATGGGAGCTGAGGTTACAATTTCCCGACGTCCGGCATGACCGTAGGTAACATCCAAGTAGCAGGAACTCTATGGCCGACTGCTCTGTGATGAAGCGTAGTTCAAAAGTATAGGCCATGTAAGGGAGCAATGAATGACTTACTCCGATCAGGCCATGTAATTAGGATGCGAGGTGGGAGCGTGCGCATGATGCATCTCGCTTGTTCTGGACTTCGGAGACCACCACGATTACCGATCTCACCTTCGTCGAGATCAACGCACAGGGAGACAAGGGGGGGGGGGGGGGGGGAAGGAAGATGCAACCGTAGTGGTAGCGAGCAGTTCTGTAACGAGTAGAAAGCATTTCGATGCGCGAATGGGAGGAAGAGCGGAAAGGGAATTAAGGAATGAGCATTCCCGGTTGTACCATGGATCCTGGCCGAACGTGACAGATGACACTAATCCTGCAACCTCGTGGCCGAAATTTGGGGACCCATCGACGGCCGGAAGGGATGTCAACTCCCAGTCACTAGTTAGATTAGAACCAGGATACGTACAAAGTAGTCATCACCTTGATCGTAACGCCAGAGGGTCCATCCGGGAAGGTGATCAGTGAGTGGGAGCACGTCCGACGGGATCCCCGCCTCGCCCGTGACTGCAAGCCCTTAACCAGACCAGGAAACAGATCCAGAAAAATAAAGAACGAGAGAGCGACCGAGTGGATCAGTTTCCTGGACCTTCTCAGCTGAAACCTTTGCCTCTATCGCACGGCCGGGGCACTGATTGGCGCGGGGGACTTTTAAGCTACTGCAGGGCACGGTTGCACGGCCACAGTTTGATCCCACCAGCATTGCAATTTGGAGCAGATCTGCCAAATCAGGATTTGACCTGCGATGAAAAATTTTTCAAACTGGTTGAGGAGAACGGACAGATCTCATGGAACCGCCGTGCATCTGCGTCAGAGGCCAATCCCCTAAATTCTTTTTTCCTTTTTGCTCTCTCCAACCCATCTCCGTATCGCTTTCCGGGCGCATGCAGCAATGGGTCCTCCCCGCCCCATCCAGTTCAGCTGGGATGTCCTCAACCAGCTGCACCCAAGAGTTTAGCAGCGACCCAGCACGTCGGTAACTCCGGCGGCTGTCATTGGATGAGTTGAGTGTGAGGATCTCGTTTCGTGTCTATCTGTCGCTCCGGCCAGAGCGTTTCGCCCCTCGACACGGTAAATTCGACGCCAATGAAAAAAATTCAACACCAGCAATTCAGCTGGTAGGCCGATTCCCGCATCCTCCTAGCCATGTGGACGACTGGAACCGACTACTATCCCGGCCAAACTCAAAGTTCTCGTTTCAAAAATTCTGGATAATTATTCGAAAATTCTCCCCCTTCTCCACAATAACCCGTCGGGTCCACAGGGCGGGCTTACCGACTGCTTGACAGGAAACGACTGGCAAGCCACGCGCTATCTTCTCTGTCGACATCACTGTGGCGTGTGTCGCAGAAGTAGACCTTTGCCCATGTGGATGACCCTGGTCGTACCAATTCCCTCGGCTAGGAGGAATCCGTAACATGCCAAGGACTAACAAGTACTATCACCGATAGATTGTTCGCTTCAGCTTTGCAGAGCGGAAAATTGATCCGTCAATAATGAGGAAACTGTCGGAGTCGCACTAGTCTACCGCTAAGGCAGCAACATCCCTGCCTGGGGTTGCATACTTGCATCGATAGTCCCAAAATAATCTGGCTGCTCGCAGCGGGCCCAAGAGAAATTTAGGGCAATAATTACCAACAATACATTGAGAAGCAATCAAGCAAACTAACCCTCGCTGGGGATTTCCAATTAAGTCGCATCTAGCGTAAGCCATAATTCAAGGGGGATATCATGACATGAAGGGAAACCGAACAAAGTAGAAGATCAATGTAGAAGCCGAAAAAGGGCAAGTGCAAAGAAGAAAAGTATAACCGAACATATGAGGCGTATCATAGGGAATCACACAGCTTTTCTTTTTCCAAAATCAGAGCACGACGAGCGACCTGCGCCCAAAATTGCGGATAACAAACCGCCCACATCAAAGGGTATACCGAAATAGCCAAGCAAATGGTGCTGTAAGCCCGAAAACCATTTAGAACATCATATATCCATACACTGCAACTTCTCGTCCTGCCAAAAGAATCAGGTGTATAGTGAGTTGCACATCGTGAGCCCAGCAATTCATGGGTGAGAACGGATCCAGGTGAGGATCACTGGCAGGGAAGGATCGTCGGCAAGCCAATGACCTGCCCGCGTGTCTGCAGCCCGGAGATCAGCAACGACGTATTGATCCGTCACTTGTGCCATTTCCTATTGTTGTATTCGATGTCAGTCAATTGCTCAATGACCGTAACGCTCAGGGCTTGACTCACCTGTCGGAACGTGTTGCTCACAGTCTTGAGTTGAGCAGCGTGCTGAGGTCCAGGCTGTTGTCCTCGCAGGATGTTCTGACGGTTGATAGCCCATCTTCTGGCGGCTGCCACCCGAAGGTAGATGCGATGGGCTTGAAAGCGCCGGGCGCTGGCGTCAAGAATCACTCTCTGCAACTCCGCCTTCTCCGTCTCCACGTTTGACTGGGCGGGTGTCATGCTGGGATTGTAGTTGGAGGACATCAACGCCTGAGCGGCAGCCAGGCCTTCTCTGATCGTCTTGTAGCCCTCTTCGTTGGCTTCTGCGCTCGGGATTTGGACGTTCTGTTGGGAGATGTGCACAAGTAGAGTTCGGTAGTCGTTTATGATTTCGGCCACCCGCAGGGCACGTGCTTCGTTGACTATAACATGTCAATGCCATTGACGACGCCAGGATAATGGAGAAAAGCGAAGGTGTCATTACTTACGTCCGTCAGCCATTGCGATTGTAGTAAACTTGAAGTTGCCTCCGACAAGTGATTAAAGGTATGTGAAGAGTGGGCGTGCAACAAGAGGCACTAAAGGAACTATATCCAAAAGGAGAGAATGAATAGAGTGTGCTAGAGTAACGGTCAAGTCAATTGACTAGAAGAGACAAGGCGACCTTTATATTCTTGATGAGTCGAACTCTGATTTCCTCTATGGTAATATCATCTGAAGGCTGAGGGTGGGATATCCTTTTAAGCTTAACGTTCAGCCATGAGGATTCCCGATGACCATGGGCCATCAGCCCGGCGATGGGGAACATGGTGAAAGAGGATCATCATCATGAGTAGTGGCTGGCTGCGTTGACGGACGCTGATGGAGAAAGGAGGACATCACAGCTAGGGACTGCAGCTGGATAATGACACCCATTGTGGATCAATAGTAGAAAACAAGCCCCATGAGAGCCATGTGTCCGAAAGGGCCTGGGATGTCCACCCACGGTGAATGGATCTAAGGCTGATATCTAAGCGCGACGCTAAGCAGCTGGCCCAGGTTAGGGGATCAATGCTTATGGGTCTGCATATGCATAGGGGAAATGAGAGATACACAAAACTGGATCACGGCAACCGGCGATAGCAGTCAACGCAGGGGTGGGAATATTGGAAAAAGAAAATCAACACTAGAAACGATGTTCAAGACTGGGGCCGGGCAGAAGAGACTCCACTGGCTTGTGGGTGGAGAAGGTGGACGGGGTGATACATCGCCGCATGTGTCACAGAAGGACCACACCAGTGGGAAAACCGATAAAGCCACAATGAAAATTTTATTATGATTATTTTAGTATAGTTTGACTTTCTGGTTTAAGGAGGTGCTGGATCTTGGTTCATCTTGCAGACTGAGTGGAGACGGACAGGCATGAGCAGATGGACCACCAACCCATGGCATGATTAGTTAGCCTAATCCTGGTAAGTACTGTAGTTAGTTAGCGGAAACTCTAGGTTGTCAAAAGACACTAAAAAAAAAAAGTAGTGGGAAGTGCGAGTGACTGCCAGCTGGGATGAGGGTCATCCACCCTCGGTAAACGCCACACCCTAGTAATTCATAGTTCAACATCAGCTGCAAGTTGGGACGGAGATATTGACGAGAATGGAATAATCGAGTGCAAGTGCAGGGAAGTCCTCGCAAGGATTTGGCTTTTGACACTGACTCGGTTTAGGTTCAGGCACCGTTCGGTTCTACGGCGAACAGGCAAGGGCGTCAAGAGCAAAGAGTAGAGCAACCCAAAAGAAAAAAAAAAAAAAAAAAAAAAAAAAAAAAAAAAAAAAAAAAAAAAAAAAAAAAAAAAAAAAAAAAAAAAAAAAAAAAAAAAAAAAAAAAAA